ATTTCCTTCCATTAGTATTATAAGATATTAATTGAAATATTTTTGCAATTTTTTTTAATTTGTACTACATTTTGATATAATAATTAATATTCAAATATCAACACGTAAAAAATGAATAGGACCGTTAGAGCTAGACAGAGATAATATAATTTATATATAATTTGTCCGCAAAATATTAAATGAATAAAATATATTATTTTATTGTAACTATAGTATCAACTAATGAAAATGGATCTTATATCCAAAAAAATTTAAAAGAATAAAAAAATTCAAAAAGAAAAGTTGGTGAGTTCCACGTTCGAAATATTTATTAAAATGAAAAAATAGGTAGGAACAGTTGTGAGCGAGAAAAAAATGCTCCCTCCGTCCCAAATTAAATATTCATTTGTTTTTTTACGTATAGTTTTAAAAATATTAGTATTATATTGAGATATAGTAAGAATAAAATAGAAATAACTAAAATAACTTTATTAGTATGTGTGATATAAAGGTAACGACATTTATATAATATATTGTAAATTGTAAGGGTATTTGTAATGTTAGGTAGATAGTACAATTACTAAAAAATAAAATTTATACTTTGTTTTAAAACGGACTAAAATGAAAAAATGAATACTTTATTATGGGACGGGAGAGTAATTAAAATAAAATATGTGGATTCCACGTCCAAAAATTAAAAAAGAAAAGAAAAGAAAGTAAAGGGGGAGACGAGGCCGAAATAATCCATCTTCAAATATATAATACTATAAGATACTATACGATAATAGATATATAGTAGATATTCTTTCGATCATTCAAATTTATTCTTACTTTTCATTTTTATTGTTATCTAAATTTATTTTCGTTTTTATTTGTAGTAAAAATTATCATTTTTTTTATTTTTTCTTTATCCTAAAAAAATACATATTTATATTTTAACCTATTTTTTTTAAAACACGTGTTTGGTCAAATGAACATTTTTTTTTTTTTTATATGATGGATGGAGTAGATATTAGATTGAACAAGAATGCTTTCGAATATAATTTTGTAAATTTTGTTACTATTAACCTTTTCAAATAATTCCTAGAATAGTATTATTATTTTTTTTACAAATTATTACTATAATATTAAATTTTAATTTCTTATTATTTCTAAAGTTTTGCAAAAGCGAAAAATTCCATTGAATTTTTTATATTAAAGTTGAAATTAAAATAATTATTTAGTTTGATGTAAATAAATATTAATATATATTTTGATATAAAATATATTTTTAATTTAATATGAAAATATAAAAATAAGTATTTAATAGATAAAAAAAAGTTAATAAATTTACAAAAAAATAAAATAAAATATATATTTTTAATTGTTACTTTGTTAGAGCATCAGTTACAATAAAACTGATTACCTTTAATCAAAAATACAATTATTATAATTTATTACCTTTATCAAGAACTCATTATTTTTAAAAATAAAAAAATAAAAAAACAAATTAAAAACTAAATCCAAAATTTTTTGAAATTTCAAATTTTTAAAGTTTAAATTTAACATAAATTATCTATAAATATATTTAAATTGCATTAACCAATTCTCTACTTTTTCATATTCAATTAAACGAAATGCAAGTTAAAATACTCATCTATTCGATCAGTTCTTAAATTAAATTTTTGATACAATTTGACAATAAAAATAATAATTCTTAAATTATATTATTAATATATTTATTTATACATTTATATTATTATATTACGATTCTTTTTTATGTTATTTTTAATTAATATATGTTGATCTATTTCGAATATTTTAAATTATTAAAATTTATATAAATTAATATTTGAAAGTTAAAAATATAATAATATATAAAAATATTATTAGATAATAAAATATGTAGAAGTACGTATAAATAAATATATTATTTATATATATTATTACATAATAAAAATATATAGAAATAAATAAATTATTGTTCATTTATAAAATAGCAAAGGTAATGTGTTAGAGGTGATTTATATAACGGATGATAAATAAAATAATTTGAATATTAAAATAAGTATGATATGGATGAAAGAGATAAAATAGATAATTGAATAAATGTAATAACTATAACGGATTGCTGTTAGCCAAATACAATTTTCAATATATACTCTATAATACCCCTTCATTCCATTTAAAAGCAGATACAACGGCCTTCTATTCGACGCCTTATTTTCCAACTTCGACGTTATTTTTTCTTCTCTTCGAAAAAATTTCAACACGGTGACCCTCCAATCGACGGCAAAAAATCGGCTTGGCTTGGTGCAGAAGAAGTGACATCGACGGTTTTTTTTTTTTCTCCATCTCTTCCTCTCTTCTCTCTTTCTCAGAGCAAATCGGACTGCGATTGATGATCGATTGTGGGCATCAAGAAGAACGTTGGCGACAACGGTTGTGGGAAGAGAAGGTGGTGACGGCGGCAGTGGTTGTGAGAGGAGAAGATGGCGGCGGCGGCGAGGCTGGGTGAAATCCGGCGAAGTTAAGTGAAATCCGGCAAAGTTGGATGAAATCCGACAAGGTTGATAGGATTCCGGAAAGTAGGGGGTGGGCAAAAAAGTCGAACCGAACAGCGGAACTGCTGAACCGAATCAAATTTTCGGGTAATCGAGTAATTTTAGTTCGAATACAAATACTACATATTTGATATTTGTTCAGTTCGGTACGATTCGAATTATTTGCAAATATTTTCGGTTAACCGAAATTTTCAATTCGAATACAATTTGCGATTTCAAATATTTATTCGGTTCGGTTCGAATATCAAATACTTGCATATTTACAAATAACTAATAGGTGTCCACCCAAAGCTGATTGGAAATCCGGCAACGTTGATGGAGATTGGCAAGGTTGGAAAAAGGGATTTTTGGTTTTGGATTGTTTGTTTTTGTTTTTTTAGTGACCCATTGTGGATGTTTTTAAAATTAGGAATATAAAGTCCCGTAAGGATGGTCTGGTGGCGTAGGGGTTGGACTTGTAATCGTGAGGTCATGGGTTCAAATTCCCGACGCCGCAGGTCACATGCCACACATAGTTCGCCTAGTGTGACTTTCCTGTCGGACCTAGTTTGCAAGGTATTAGGTTTGACGGTATTTATATAATATGAATCACTTATTGAAAGAAATTTAGAATACAATATGTGTTTAGATATTTTTAATATTATATTTCAATAGAATATATTCTCTTGGTAGTACTATGTAATTACAATTGAGGATATTTATATTTTAACTTTTAAAATTTATTAATTGTGTGTTTTTTTAGTTTTAAAAATTTAAAATTTTTTGTTATTAGTTATTTAAAATTAAGAATATATTATAAAATATTCTTTTATTAATTTTAGATGTGAAAAAAATAATATATATTTTTATTGAAAAATATGAATATTTTTTATTAAGAATTATGTAAAATATAAAATAATAAAATCTTTGTAAATATATTTATTATATTAATTATTGATTAATTTATTATATTTATAAATTTTAATAAATTTATTCCATTTTATTTACTTTTAATATAAAAATAAATTAATAATATTTATCTTTACATTTTAATGAATATATAGTTTACAAATAAAATTAATTATATATAAAATTTAATTAATTTAATTTTATAAAAATAAAATTATAATTTAATAAAGACTATATATTAAAATAATTTATAATTACTGCAGTAGAAAATATATTTATATGTATATGAAATAAATAATAACATTAAAAGGTAAATAAGAAATAAAAAAAAATACAATTAAAAAAGCTCTATCAAAACTATCAAATAAGGAATAATTATATACATTTTCGGAAATTAGCTTTTGGGGCGAATAAGCTATTTAGAAAAGTTAATTTACCAAACATCTAAATTAGCTTTTTGGGGCCAATAAGTTATTTAAAAAAAAAAGTAATTTACCAAAAACCTAAATTAGCTTTTTAGGGCCAATAAGCTATTTCAAAAAACTAATTTACCAAACATCTAAATTAGCTTTTTAACTGCTTAACAGCTAAAAGGGTCTTAAAAAAAGTTGTTTGTCAACCACCCACTAAGATTAAGATGACCAAATAGTTTAATGAAAATAAAATAAAATATAAATTATGAATTTTAAAATGTAATTAAAATATATAATTATATTTCAAAAAATAAAAGGACAAATTACGTGGGATTGACAAAAATAGAAAGAGTGGACGGACGGAGTATATAATATGGATATCAAAGATAATTTTGTATAATACATATAAATAAAAAATTTATTTATTTATCATTATTATAAGTTACTTTTACAAAAATATGAGAGTTTTAAAAGTAAATAAAAATATTTGTTAAATAAATAGAAAAATAGAAAAAAAATGAATTTGAACATGTCTAACATGTTATAAATTTAATTAAATTATTTTATATTTTTTAATTGTATTTAAATTGATAAACTTATCAAAAATAAAAAAAAAAGTAATTTTTTATGAGATTGAAAAAAAATATATATATAATCCCTCCGTCCCGGTGCAAGATTGCTATTTACTTTTTGCACGTATTGTGTAATATAAAAGTAATGACATTTGTATAATATAGTGTAAATTTGAAAGGTATTTATTATGTTAAGTAGATAATACAATTACTAATTATAAATTAAAAATAGTAATCTTGTATTGAGACGGACGGACGAAAATAAAAAATAAAAACTTTTCAATTGGACGAATAGAATAATCATTTGCGGTCAAATCAAACTAAGGGTATATTTTATCCTCTCCCTAAAAATAAATTTAATAATGCTTTAAATTTGCTATCCATTTAATTTTTTTTTTCCTAAAAACATCAAAAATATATTTTTAAGAACATCTTTCCACACTTCAAATTTAAAATACCAACCAGACACAATAACTCAAAATAATCAAAATAAATAACTCAAAGTAAAATTTTTAGAGAATAAAATATTCCTTCCATGTAAGAAATTATGATATTTTTTTCTTTACTTTATATATATATAATAATTATATGTATAATAATAGTATATTTGTAATTTAAGTAGAAATTACGAAATCCAAATACAAATACAGTCTACAGATAGAAAGATTTTGAGAAAGTGATGGAAAGGATGAATAATCAATTCAATCTCATTCACAGTTTAACACATCCAAGTAAACGTCTGTCACCACTTTTCTCTCATCATCTTCTTCTTCTTCTTTAACTATTTTACCTCAGGGCACATTCAAAGTAGCCATTGCCATTTTTCTGGAGTTGGTAAAAACCGAAAAAATGAATTTATAAATCACGGGTCGAGGAGGAATTTGTCATCGTTGCATTTCCTCACGCAGGCAGCTCGAGCTTTGCATTGTTCTTCCAGCTGAAAGAAGAAGAAGAACGAAATCACGGATAAATTCAATACCGATTAACTAACACCATCAAATTTGTACAACCGACAGATCATGTAATAGCATACCTTTGGAAGTAATAGTAAAAGAAATCGGCGTATAGCAATGTCTGGATGAGACCCGAAATCCAAGCTGCAGCACAATATAAACAATTGCAGCATCAGTTTACGCATCAAATATTTTTCGTATAAATGACATTATTTGCATTTTCTAGAGGGACTGAGGCAATACTTATCCAGTGTACAAAGTGAGGTTGAGTGAAGTAGCGATAAATCCAGTTCAAAATGTATAACGCTCGGTATGCACTGCAGGAAGAAACAAAGAAACGAAAGGACTCGTAAGAATCTCTAGACTGCACTTTGTCTTAATAGAATCAAGCATATCATCAATCGAGATAATTTGAATTGAATCACATTTTTTCCATTAAAAAAGAACAATAAAAAATATTTTGATTAATATTCCATCGTATTTTGTTAGTATAAACAAATAAAATATCTTATATTTTATTTATTATTTGAAATTCCCTTGTGCTAAATTAAAATATTCACGAAACACCTTCTATGTTGGTTGTTAACACGCATATAATTATCCAACGTCTTAAATAGTCTTCTTTAAATAATATAATTAATCAATTAACTCTTTATTTCATAGTATTTTTGAAGATTTGATCAGTGACCTAATTTTTACCCCATAAAAAAAATACCAAATAAAGGGCTGATCAATTATTTATTCAACTATTTTATTGAAAGAACACGATTTAAGATATTTGATCTTTTTTATTTGTATAACACTCATAATTAGGCATGTTGTTTACAACCAATGTCAATTTTGGATGGAAAAAGTATTTTGTGTATATTTTATTTAACATAAAAGAATTTCACACAATAAATAAACACAAAGTATTTGTGCATTTATAATAAAACAACAAAGGGATATTAACAATTTACCCTAAAAAACTACAAAACATAAGGAAAAAGAAACTAAAAACATATTTCCCGATCAAGTTAAAGAGTTAGTATAAATGTGAGGAGGGACGATGATAATTACCCTAAGAGAAAAACATATTGCCCGGTCAAGTTGTCGATGTTTCTTGTTCTCTGCAGCAAGACCAGCTGAGGAAGAATGGCGACGGCTTCCAGGTACAACGAAAAAGTCCAAATAACCTGGTCAATCATAAGTAGCAACAAGCATAAGAATTCCAGTAAAGTTGAGACAAAGTTAGGGGTTGTGTGTGGGAGTTGAGGTACCTCCATGAATGTAAACCTCTCATTTATAAGCAAGGCTAATAACAAACAGGGTATGATCAGAAAATAGTGGCGGAAAGTGTCCTGGTCTTTGTCGTAAGATCGCCGGACGATCTTGTGCCTCCTCATATACCAAACAATGGAGAAAGAGCTTCCCAAAAATATTAATTTCATCAGTGTGTTATAGAGGGAGATGTAGCGAGTGAATATATCCAAATAACGAGTCGCAAAGACGAGGGCGTAGAGCTCCTGAGTCTTCAGTGAAATGCCTGGACAGAAAATGATTTTTAAGTAGGAAAATTGCGTGCATATTCACAAATGTAGCATAACAAAACGAACCACACATGAACCTAGACAAGCTAGGATATGTTAAGGTTGATTAGCAAAGATTAGACACGCCTGTGATCAGTAATTACGAATATTAGCACTGCACCTTAGATTGAACAGAAAATATAAAACAGATGCATTATCTCGGACTCTTTATGCACAAAAAAAAATATATGTATCTTTCAAGACACACTCACACAAGAAATGTCGAACATCCTTGTTGGACATCACAACTAAGTGAAATCTTAGAACCTTACAGATTCCAATTGTTAGGCAGCTTTTCCCATTAAAGATTCCCAAAGTTGAAAACAAACAATAATTTGATGGCCATTTATATTGGTTAAATTACTCTTAACATATAGGTTGTATGTTTAAAAACTGCTTTCGACAAAACCATATATCATTGAATGGAAACTCATCTTCTATAATTCATACTAACCACTAAGAGTTAGAAACGTGATCATGTCTACATATATATGCAAAAGAAATAGGATTCCCACTATTGTCGATTTCAGGATGTCATGATAGGCACACAATTCCATCATATGAATATCCTTAAATCTTGTCCTCATTCCTTAAAGTGGCGAAAATACTTCATTCATACTAAATCCACCAGCATTTTCACCGACTATTGAATAATAGAAGCTAACAATGTATACAACTCCATCCATGACTATGCCTAAAAGCCACCAAACAAACCCACAATACGACAAATATCGCGCTGTTAGTGAATAAGTAAATAAAGTTTGTTTAGTATAAAGATTTGTTTGGTTTGTGTATAAGCTTTTTATTTGACTTTTTATTTAAATAGTATTTAGATTTGATGTCTTGTAAGAGGAAATAAAGTACTTTTTGGAAACCTTAAGAACTGAATAGTGTAATTTTTTATTTGAAACGCAAGCCAAACACACCGAATCTACTGTCCAATCTACAAATTTCACTTTCCCTCGAAAGACCATCACATCCAATGCCTATTCTCTATCCAAAACCAAACATCAAACAACAATTTTTACTTGAACAATTTCAGAACCAAAAGCACAAGTAAACACACAGTTTTTGCTGGAACATACTCGCCCAAATTTAAGCACACAAATGCGATCGAACATTTGCAAACATGAAAAACAAAAACACTTCCATACTTGTTAAAAAAATAAATAAATAAAAAATCAAGAATGTCTCCAAACTCCCACTACATCTTCCAAACACTTAAATTTACAGTTCCAAGCTTCAAACAGAAAATCTTATAACCCTAACAACAAATTTCCATTAATGCCCGGAGGCAAATCTTCCCAGCATCAGTAAGAAGTGTTCTCTTTCACAAAGCCCTAAAGATCCACATTTTGTTCTTACTGCGGCTTCATTTTTCACACAAGATCAATTCTGATTATAACTTAAATCAAAAATAAAAAAGAACTAATAACCAAACATTCATCTACACTCTCAACCAGCAAAAAAAACCATTTAACCCCGATGGAAAATCAAAATCAAAATTCATGTAATGAACATAAACAACTGAATCTTCGTCCCTCAGCAAATTAAAAACCAAATTGAGCCCGAAGCACGAGATTGCAGATAAAAACAAATTGAGTAATGGCTGAACAATCGACAAGCAACACATACCGGCACAGGATTTAATAGTGTGAATCTTGAGGAGCAAAACAAGAACACTCGCCAAATGAGTCATATCCCCTGCTAACCTAAATATATTCATCTTTCTCCTCTCTTCTACCTCCTGCACTCCAAAAATCAAACCCCAGAAACTATCCCCTCCCCAATTTGAATTTCCCAGAAGCCACAGAACACAGATCCGCTCCCAGTCCCGTTTCCGAATACAAAATCCAAAAAAAGCTGTGCGTATCGAGCCCGCTTAGAAGCAGCGCCTCCTTCGTCGCGATATCACTTCGAATCAGCACTAATTATTCGCGACGCCTTTTTCTTTTTATTATTAATTTTATTATTTTTTGGACAATGAAATTTGAATTAGAATGGAATTGCATTATCACATTGCAAATCGTGGCACGTGTGAGTGAATGACTACACCTATGCACGGACGTGTCTTGTCCAATCACATCGCAGCTTCAAGCGTGTCACGTGATTAATTAGTAAATAAAAAATAATGCAAAATAACGTCGTCGCCTGAGAGATTCGAACTCTCGCGGGGAAACCCCATGTACTTAGCAGGCACACGCCTTAACCACTCGGCCAAAGCGACTTTTAGTTAGTAAGATAATTTATTATTTATATGTCTCTATACGTATTTTTATTTTAATATACTAAATGGTAAAAATGGTGCTATGTTTATCATTTTGAATTCAAGTTTTTTAATATTAAGAGAATATTTATTTTATAAAATATCATATTTAAACTATACTATTGTTCATTTCTTCTCAATTATTGTGTTTTTATTGTTATTTCTGTCTATTCAGTATTTTATATTATTTTTTATTTTTGGCAAAAATTTAAATACTTTAAATATAATTTAAAATTTATAATCTAAACTTAATTATATTTATCCCCACACACAAATTATTCACCTCACTCACCTCATTTGGGTTCTTCGTTTTATCTCATTCATCTTATTTTGTCTCACCGTTCTATTTTATCCAGTCTATTTTTTTTCATTTATATCTTCTCCTCTCTTCCTGATCTGAAAACCCTAATCCGTCGATGTCGTTGCTCCGCCCAGTTCCGTCGACTTTCCTTCCGAGTCCATGGGTTCTGAATCATAATCCAACAGTGAGCCCTCATTGCCTTAATTGTGGTTATTCATCTTTCGTCATCCATAAATCGACCTAGCATCTTAGGTTGTCAACGAGTGGGATCTAGTCCAAATTCGAGTCCCAAATCCGGATCTGACCTTTTAATTTGATTTCCGAATCCGGAACTCCATCTTTCGGAACTTGAAAATTGTAGACTTGGGTAGGATCCGGTCCATTTCGGATCCGGTCGCAGGTCCAATATCTTAGACCAAATTAAGATCAACTTAGAAGAAATAAAAAAATTACTTAATTAAATAAATATTCAAAAGAATCCTAAAATCACTACAACATACGAGTAGAAAAATTATTCCAATACACAAATAACTAACAAACCAACATTCAGAAGCAGTTCTAAAATTTTAATAAGAACAGTTGCAATCAATTAATAAAAATAATTTGCACCAGCATCTCAGATTCTCAGCCACCCAGGAAGGCTATATGCGAGTGCTTCAAGCATATTGCCAAGTCCTTCCGAGTCAATCTTTTCAAAGCTTAGCAGCTCCCTCAACTTTTCCCATTAGCATCGATCCTAGTGTCGACAATAACATCATATGAGAATAATAACACGAACAACAGTGGATGACAAGTAGGGCAATATAGACAAATTTAATTGAATTATATTCATCATCTAGCAGGGTGACTAAAATTAAATATCAGATTTTTAATATATATATATATCAGATCCTAAGTTTTAAGTAAAATGAGCATAGCAAGTCTCATTATTAGCAATTTCTGTGTTTCAATCAATATACATACAAACATATAATATTAAATATAACATTACTTTTTGTGTACATACTATACAAACTCTCAAAGAATTCATGCAAATTTTCAAACTTTTGAATTTGAACAAGTATTTGCGCTTTTTTAAAAAATATCTTGAAAAATATATATTTCAAATTCTAAAATAAAAATTTTAGTAACAAGTATTTAAACATTATAAATAAAATTTACTCTTTTTTTATTCTAACTAATCATTTGCTATGTAACCAATTCTTCAACAATATCAAGAGCAAAAAAAAAAAAAAATACAATTTTCATCAATCATTCTTTCTCCAATACTAAAAGGTGACTCAGATGCTACGGTGGTGGTTGAAATTGCAAGAATATCACATGCATTTTTTTTCCAAAAATAGGAAATTTTGAAGATTTGTTTTCCACAAACTCAATATATTAAAATCATTTGTTTTAGGAAATACATGCTCTTCCAAATATATTTCCAATTCAGGCTTCTAAACATAAACTAAAGTAAATGAATGAGCACTTTTATACCAACTATCAAAACCTCATAGGGTGTGTTTGTTTGGGGGTTTGAATTTTGAGTTAAGATTTGAATAGTAAAAATTTTGAATTTGAATAGTTGTATGATATGATATAAATATGTGTTGATGTGATATTTTGAATGTAAAATTAATTTTTAGGATAATATAAAAAAAATAAAAAATATGTGTTTGATTTTGATATTCTTTTAGAAAAAAAATTGATGAATAGTGAAAATTGGAAAAAATTCTCCAAAAAAACGCACTCGTAATGTATCTTCATTCTCGCAATGTTCCTCCTCAATGTTGCCTCTAGTGTGTCAAAAAGTAGGAGTAAGATCACCTTCATACTCAGGGAACAAATCATTCAATGTTGTCCGAATCCTCTCTATATATCATTTTTTATTTTTCCTACATATTTCTTGATAAGAAAACTTTACCAATGCAAGTTAAACCTTAGATCAAATACTATAGTAATTTCCAACACCAAAGAGTATTCCTCCCAATATTTTTTCAAATTTCTTTCATAATGATGACCATTTCATTATAAAAACTGTGTTCACCCGACTTCCATTGCTTCATTCGAATTTGCAAATCACATATATCAAGAAAGAGAATGTTGGTTATAGAAAAATTACTTCCACCAAAATAACAAGTAACGTCATAAAATCTTTTCAAAGACCAATGCACCGATTGCGGTACAGTAGAGTTGTAGTAAGTTTGATTAGGTGTCTAGCTTGAGATTATTCAGAAATGCCAGGTTTGCCTTGATAGGAAGCCGGTGCTGGATTAAAACCGCGCATCACCCTCGCCACTTTCCAATCACTTTATGAAAGACTAAATTTATAGCCTCTATCTATTTTTGCAAAACGACTAAAGACTTTCTCTAAAGGTAAATTAGTATCAAACATAAAAAACTTTGAACTCCATCTATTTTGTACATCTATGCTTGCTCTTCTTTTTTTCAACTTGCATTGATTGATGACATTCTCAAACTTTTGATTTGTTGACGAGAATCTTTTCAAATATTTTAAAGTTGTTGATGTATTTTTTTAACAAACAAAAAGTAAAATTCAAAGATATGGAAAATATCTTTAAACTTGATTAATTAGTGCCTGAGATTAGGAATCTCTAAACACTGTACGGTACATAAAGAAATTAACTAGAAAATAAAATGCTGGAAATTTAAAGTGGTGATCCCCAAATCTGACTTTGCTTTGTTGAAGTTGATTGAAGATGATTGTAGAAGAAAAATCTAAATCCTTAAATACTTCTTGAAAAGACGCTTTGGAACCGTCGCCAGCAACCGCCGTCAACCGCCCAAAAGAAACATTTTGAAACGTCGTCTGGTCAGTTACGGCAACCGTCTTGTCAACTGCATAACCCAACCGACTAATCCAGTGACTAACTGGTCGCTAGACCAAAAGACTCATTGACCGCCCCCACCAAGCGACCAAACTACTGTTCACTTAAGTGGGCAATCAATTACCAGACCTTACTTCGCCCAACCTCCGTAGCAGCCGACTTTACTTGGTCCGACCACGTACCAACCAACTTGCTTATCCGATCTGCTAACCATCAGACCAGTCTGTCCGACCTACTGACCATCAGACTTGAGGACCTCCCGACCTGAAGACCTTCCGACCTGCGGACCTCCCGACCTGAGAACGTTCCGACCTGCGGACCTTCCGACCTTCCGACTTCCCGATCTGAGGACCTTCCGACCTGCGGACCTTTCGACCTGCGGACTTTCCGTCCTGACCAACCGACCGAGGACCAACCGACCTGACCACAAATGTTTTCATTTTTCACCCGACTTCGAATCTAACTTTCTTTAAAATCCTGCTATCCTTATTTTATTTATTATTATTTTTTGTACGTAACAACTAGCCTCCTCCTCAAGACTCCTAAGCATCACTTCCAGTGATGTTTTAGGAGTTTGCAGGCCGTCATCCGAAGCCAAGTCAGCCTCAGATTCGGCCTTCATCTTTCGAGGCTACGTTGGACCCGACCTCCATTCATCGTAGACTGGCGGGGGCCTGCACATAGGTCGACGTTGCACTATCATGTCTTCAACACCTTCTTCTTGACCAAAGTTGCGATCATTCTCTTTAAAAAGTGATTCTAACCTTCTTGCCTTGGATACTAAACTAGCCAGATCTCGAACATCGTGGGCTGTCAAAGCCTCCCGCAGATTGGTATGCATGTTCCTGACCACCAAAGTGGTCATGTCGCTTTCTTCAATGATTTTCGGGCAACGTCCCTTCATTAATCGCATCCGTTCTATGAACTGGGAGGCAGTCTCCTCCGGCATCTGCTCGATCTCACAAAGGTCTGTGAGTGAGACTGTTGGAAAAGGAATAAAGAACCTTGCATGAAAAGCTGCTTCCAAACCTTCCCAGGTTTGTATTTGTCCAGGTGGCAGATCGACAAACCACGAAAAAGCGGTTTTGGTAAGAGACAACTCAAATAGTTGCAGTTTATAAAAAGGGTTGTTACCGATTTCTCCTAACTGTGCTGTGAACCGACCAACATGCTCTATGGTGGAGGATCTGTCTTCTCCCGAGAAAACATGAAAGTTTGGCGGTTGATAATTCCTCGGGAGAGGATAATCGTTGATGATCATTTTCGGAAATGGCCTCTGATACACTGGTCGGTTCGCCGTTTGCGGATTCATTCCGAATTGTACCCGCAAGACTCGAGCGATTTTCTCCGGATCTACCCTGGGTGGAACAAAATCTTCTCTAGAGAAGGCTGGCTCGTTTGGGATGGGATTATGAATCTGATCTCCCAATCCTTCTTCTCTAGGGACAGTTGGCTCAGTTGGGATGGAATTATGAGCCTGTTCCCCCAACCTCTCATTCGGCTGGGTATTATCAACTCTCGATCCTAAAGGAACATTATCTGGGAAAGTTAGAGGAGTCTTCCCCATATCTGTTCGGTTGAAAGTTATGATGCTTGGAAATGAACTGTCAACGTACGTTGGCCCTGCAAATGTTAATCCTGGAAAAGTTGTCTAAAAACGAGAAGGTGACACGGCTGGAAGCATGTTTGGATACAAGGTGAATCTGGAAACGCCTGATCCAACATGTTTTGCATAAGATTCTGTTGCTCGCGCAACATGATGTCCTGTTGCTTGCGCAACATGTTCTGCATCGCTGAAGTATGCTGATTGTTCAATTGTTGAACATACGACAACCAATCGATAGGTGGTTGAGGGATCTTCCCTGGATTTGGCATGACTGGTGGTAAAATATTTTCTTCCACTGGTGCTGATGATGATTGAGGTTGTGAGCCTGCTATACTGATTTTTCTGATGATTCGGCCGGACCTCAATCGTATGAAATTCTCTGTGAATGTAGGATCAGCAATCTTGCCTTTCTCCCACTGTGATCGCCAATTTGTTGATGTATTTTTTCAACAAACAAAAAGTAAAATTCAAAGATATGGAAAATATCTTTAAACTTGATTAATTAGTGCTTGAGATTAGGAATCTCTAAACACTGTCATAAAGAAATTAACTGGAAAATAAAATGTTGGAAATTTAAAGTGGTGATCCCCAAATCTGACTTTGGTTTGTTGAAGTTGATTGAAGATGATTGTAGAAGAAAAATCTAAATCCTTAAATACTTCTTGAAAAGACGCTTTGGAACCGTCGCCAGCAACTGCCGTCAACCGTCCAAAAGAAACGTTTTGAAACGTCGCCTGGTCAGTTACGACAACCGTCTTGTCAACTGCAAAACCCAACCGACTAATCCAGCGACTAACTGGTCGCTAGACCAAAAGACTCATTGACCGCCCCCACCAAGCGACCAAACTACTGTTCACTTAAGTGGGCAATCAATTACCAGACTTTACTTCACCCGATCTCCGTAGCAGCCGACTTTACTTGGTCCGACCACGTACCAACCAGCTTGCTTATCCGACCTGCTGACCATCAGACCTGTCTGTCCGACCTGTTGACCATCCGACCTGTCTGTCAGACCTGCTGACCATTAGACCTGAGGACCTCCCGTCCTGAAGACCTTCCGACCTGCGGACCTCCCGACCTGAGGACGTTCCGACCTGAGGACCTCCCGACCTGCGGACCTTCCGACCTGAGGACCTTTCGACCTGCGGACTTTCCGTCCTGACCAACCGACCTGACCCCAAATATTTTTCTTTTTCACCCGACTTCGAATCTAACTTTCTTTAAAATTCTGCTATCTTTATTTTTTTTAATTATTATTTTTTGTATGTAACAAAGTATTTGGAAGCAAATCCCCAATGATACTTAAATCATCCTGCACAATTAAATTCAAATGTGTTCACTTCATGAGACATGAAAAAACTAACATTCCAAATTAATTGAAGACTTATTTAAAAGTCACGACTTCAAAAGCTGAACTATTGAAACATTTGAAGAATCATTGTCAACAACTATAGCTGAACCATTGAAACATTTAGGCTCGACACCACGATTAAAAATTTTTATTGAAAAAGTAAAAAAAAAAATGAAAAGATAATTTGAGATATTTTTGAATATTTAATTAGTAATTAAAAATAATAAAAATAAATAATGTAACAAAGTTAATAGTATTGATTGTAAATAAGTATTTAATAAAAAATAATAATTATATATTGATATTTTAATTTTTTCAAATATAATAAAAGGATAAATTTAATGAAAAAAAATAAAAGAATAAAAATAAATTTAACTCAAAAAATATTTATAATATTATTTAAATTATATATATAAAAAAAATAATAAGGCAACTATCCCAATAATTGGAAACATGCGATACACTACTGGTGTGTTTGTTTGAAGGATTTTGGAGGATTTCTACTATTCATCCAATTTTTTCCCTCAAAAACATCACATCAAACACCTATTTTTTATTTTTTATATTATACTAAAAATCAATTTTACATTCAAAACATCACATCAAACCCTATTTATATCACATCATACAACTATTCAAATTCAAAATTTTTACTATTCAAATCCCAATCCAAAATTCAAACCCCCAAACAAACACACCCTACATTGATGCCAACTAGATTTATCTTCATCTACGAGTGATCATTGTCATGGTTTAAGTCGTACTAGGAGAGCCAGCCAACCATTTCGTTACAAAAGGTAGTGTAAAGTAAAAAATTATTAATAATAATTTATGATAATATTTTATATAATAATTTATGATAATATTTTAATTTTTTGTTTCATAAAAAAGATATTATTTTTTATTTTTGTCTGTCCAAAAATAAGAATATTATTTTCTTATTTAGTATTGTTGTATTATCTATTTAACATAATTAATATCCTTACAATTTTTAATATATTACATAAATACTGTTACTTAACATCACACAATCTAATATGGATATTTTTATCTGTTTTACTATAAACCAATATAATACTAATATTTAAAAATCTACGTGCAAAAATTAAACATTACTCTTCTTCCGGAACGAAGGTAGTATTATTTTTTATATGAGTAGTGTTGTTGGTATTTTAAATATTTTTAGAATTATATGTCAATAAAATATATATAATATGAATATCATTTTTGTAGATAATAAAATTTTATATAATGCAAATGAATAAAAAAAATATTTATTAATTTATCATTATCATAAATTAGTTTTATAAAAAATAGGAGTTTCAAATGTAGAAAAAAATATTTATCAATTGAGGAGAGAAATAGAAATGAAGGAGTTTTGAGTAAGCTATTAGAAATTTAATTAAATTGATTTATATTTGTTAAGTATGTTTAAAATTTATAAATTTACCAAAAATAAAAATAAATCATCTTTTCTGGACGTATAAAAAAGAAAAATAGGTCATTTGTAGCGGGACGGAGTATATGATATATATTATTAGTAATAAAATTGTTTAATGATATATTAATTTAAATAAAAATAAAAATATTTAAATATTAATATATAATTATTTTTATAAAATAAAAAGTAAACATTATTATATATAAGACATGAAAATCATAAATATTGTACTTGGGCACTGTAATTAACGCTAATTAATTTTCGGGCATAAAGACACATGCAAGTCACTAGTCACAATAAAATTCATTAGAATATGTTTCGAATATTCGCGATGCCAAAAATAGACTCCGAATATTCCATTCCTCTTTTAAAAATAAAAAATAATAAAAAATTATCGTGGCTCATGACTCATCTATACATACAAATTAAAAGATTTAAAAAAATCACTTGCTGATGCACGCTTTTCCAAAAGACACTTCTCTGAAAACGACGCCGTCCGGCACCTCCATGTCTCCTCCTCCTCGTTCGCACGCCATCGCCCATTTCCATGGAAGCTGACGTTCTTCGCGTACCATTTCCTACATGCAACGACTGTGTTTCTTTGGTTGGCCTCCACTCCACAACATGCGTAGAAAAAAGCTCGTTATTTCCACGCCAAATCCCGTTTGACCCTCGTTTTTAAATACGCGACTTTGCTGTACACGCGAGAATTCGCGATTGCTTGATATGATTGTGCTGTCGCTAGTCTGTTCTTGATTCAGCCTATTGGATGATTATTTATTTATTTATTTATTTGTGTTGGAGAAGTTGCTTGAAGAAAAAGCATCGCGGTAAGCTGGTATGTATTGGCTTTCTTTATCCCCTTCAATGCATTCGTTGATTTTCTTATTTGTGATTGTTTTGGATTCGATTTTAGGTGAGAAGATGGCTCTGCGCATGGGGGGAAGAGCTTGTGCAGCATTTGTTTATATTATTCTGAATTTGTTTCAAATTTATGGTGAAATTCCTACAACCCTTGGAGGACCGTTCAAGCCTGTAACTGCTCCGTTGGATCAGAGTTTTCGGGGACATGCAGTGGATTTACCTGATACTGATCCCAGAGTGCAGAGGAATGTCAATGGATTTGAGCCTGAGCAAGTTTCGGTCTCCCTTTCATCCACTTTCGATTCCGTCTGGATTTCTTGGATTACAGGTTATTCTTTCGAGCTTTCTTTATGAATTTCACTTCTGTTATTGCTGAGTTTACGATTTACTTTGGGTGAATGAAGAGATTGTGTGAGGGGGTCTCATATTGGCTTAATTTATGGCTGCTTTGTAATGGTTGATGAATTATGATTGTGAAGATGGTAATTTATTATGATCAGGAGAATTTCAAATTGGAGAGAACATTAAACCCTTGGATCCAAAAACTGTTGCCAGTGTGGTTCAGTATGGAAAGTTGAGGTTCCCGCTGATTCACAAAGCTACCGGAAAAGCACACATTTACAGTCAGCTTTATCCTTTCGAAGGCCTCCGAAATTATACTTCAGGGATCATTCACCGTGTCCGGCTTAATGGTACATTAGGATAATTTCCAGTATTACTCATTCTTGTGTGATCTTGCACTTCTGGATGTGAAATCTACATATCATATTAATGGAATGTCTTTGTTGTTGCATAAGTAAATGTTATTTAAACTGATGTTATGAAGATTTCTCTGTTTTGGTACCATGGAATACAGGGGAAGTGTTACTCAAATGGGGGTTCTGGTCGTTTAATCATCATACATTAGGCTGGCTTTGGTTCGGATTATATACAGTTATATGTGCCATCATTGCCGGTTATTTTGAAAATTTTTAAAGCAAATCCTTTCTGTTAGTCCAGTTGAAAAGTGTTGGTGGAACTAAATATGAACAAACTCTCTCCATATCTACTTACAAAATTTTGTGAGGATGTCATCTAGAATGGTAATGGCGATCTTGTGTTTGAATTCTCAGCATCGCCTACTTATGAATAAGTGTTTGATGTGAAATGCATTTTGAGAAAAGAATTCTGTTTGCATGAAAGGGCACATTTTGAACTTTGGTAGCTAAGCTAAGCTTTTAGTTGGGGTAGTCATCTATGCGGTTGTTGCTACTCCTCGTAGTTTTACAGTTTTAAGATTGAAGCTACTTTGTGACGATAGAATTGGTGAGAAAATCGAACTAGTAATATTTATTCATCAATGGTGGTTGGAGTTTGAGAGGTTGAAATCCTTTTTATACGGCAGGATTGGAGCCGGATACAACATACTACTACAGATGTGGAGATCCTTCAAAATCGGCGATGAGCAACACTTACTACTTCAAGACAATGCCGGTTTCTTGTCCAACTAGTTATCCGGGTAAAATAGCTGTTGTTGGAGACCTAGGTCTCACCTACAACACCACTTCAACAGTTGATCATATTATAAACAACGAACCGGATCTTATTCTGTTAGTAGGAGATGTATGCTATGCTAACTTATATGTTACTAATGGGACTGGCTCCGATTGCTATTCGTGCTCGTTCTCGGATACGCCTATACATGAGACCTACCAGCCTCGTTGGGATTATTGGGGAAGGTAACAACTTGTGCTTTCTCTGCCTAGCTATAAACACTATCCTCTTACTTTCTCTGTCCTTGATCTGAAAATTTAATGTAATTCATAAATTCATTTGTACAAGAAGTCTTTAGGTTTGCAGTGTTCCATTCAATGTGATGCTATAGTTTTTTCTCTCAAAAGTCCATTATTATTAAATGAAGTTTTATTGTGATTTGTTTCGTATGGTTTGTTGTAGTTTTCATTCACTTCCTTTTTTCGTCCAAATACCGTATGGCTAATGTGTATCTGCCTTTTGAACTCTTCAGATATATGCAGCCCTTGATATCTAAAGTTCCGATCATGATGGTTCAAGGGAACCACGAAATAGAACAGCAAGTTCGAAACCAGACTTTCGTGTCCTTCAGTTCTCGATTTGCATTTCCACATAAAGAAAGCGGATCGCCTTCTCCGTTCTACTACTCATTCAACGCAGGAGGCATACACATCATAGTCTTGGGAGGATATGTTGCTTATAACAAATCAGGTGAAGCTTTATTCGAACTTTCCCCTATAACTAAAACAACATTGATTTTTACGTTGCATGGTTTCATCGATGAACCCTTATTGAATGACATCCTACTACAGATGACCAATACAAATGGTTGCAGAAAGATCTAGCTAGCATCGACAGGGAGGTGACACCGTGGTTGGTAGCCACATGGCATCCACCTTGGTACACAACTTACACGGCCCACTACCGGGAAGCTGAATGTATGAGGATTGCCATGGAGGACCTACTCTACAACTATGGCGTCGACATCGTATTCAATGGACATGTAAGTTTTCATTCTCATCCTAATTCTTTCATGGATTTGGAAAACATGGATGGATAGGATGTTACCGACTGTTAAAATTTCAGGTTCATGCCTACGAGAGGTCGAACAGAGTGTATAATTATACCCTTGATCCTTGTGGTCCTGTTCATATAACGGTTGGTGATGGTGGCAACAGAGAGAAGATGGCAGCCAAGCATGCAGACGAACCGGGCAACTGTCCAGAGCCGTCTACTACACCTGATGACTTCATGGGTGGATTCTGTGCCTTTAATTTTACCTCAGGGCCAGCTGCTGGCAAGTTTTGCTGGGATCAACAGCCTGAATATAGCGCATACCGGGAGACAAGCTTTGGCCATGGAATCCTAGAGGTAAGAACTCGTTCTAAATTTTCTTTGGCTTACAATTAGCAGCACATAAGCTGTTAAAAACAAAACATTAGGAACATATACATTCTGTTTATGATCTTATATATAAACATCTCAACTAATACTGATAATTCTAACTTAAGAAACAAAAAAGTCTGCCAACAGCATTTCATTCACCTCTGGAAACTTTTTGCAGGTTAAGAACAACACACATGCTCTCTGGTCATGGCATCGCAATCAGGACATGTACAACAAAGCAGGGGATCAAGTCTATATCGTAAGGCAACCCGAGAGGTGCCCGGTTCAACCCAAGGTAACTGAACTTAAGGAAACCAAAAATTCGAAAGATATACCCCTCCAAGAGTCTAACTATCGTATCCCTGAAAATATCCTAGATTTGGTTGTTCTCGATGCCTGATACCTACTCAACATTTAGATTATGCCACAAAATATAATCTAATTAGAAACCACCCTGCAGATTGTCTTTTTATTATCAATGAATAGGTTGATGCAGCCATTTTATGACTTCAGTTGGAGGTCTCCTCATTCTTGTAAACTGTACAGAGTCGGTTTTTTCGTGAAAATGAAGAAAGCTTACTTAGCTTTACATGGCTTGTGTCTCATTGTTAAGGTTTTCTTTTGAGGGGAGAGATGGATATGGTGAAGCAGGGGGACTATTGTGGTTGTAATGAAATTAAAATGGAATTTCATCTGGTCTGGAGATGATGGAAGAAGTTTAGGTAATTGCAATTTTAATTATAAGTCATTGAATAAATCCTTCCTCTGTTACATTGTCCACGAAATTAGAGCTGCTAGAGTAAGAATTTTATCCTAAACGAGTCCAGCTCCACTTATTGTGCCAGTGAATCGTAATTTTATCCTGATTTGAGTCTATTTATGCTGCTAATGAGTCGTATTTTATACTAAATGAGTCGAGTTATGCTGATAATGAATCGTATTTTATACTAAATGAGTTGATGACTACTCATGCTGCTAGTGAATCGTAACTTATACCGAGGTGATGTCTACTTATACGGCTAGTGAATCGTAATTTATACTAGACGAGGCAATATCTATTTGTGCTACTAGTGAATCTGTAATGTATATTAAACGAGTTGATGTCTCTACATATGCTACTAGTGAATGGTAACATGTGCTAAATGAGTTGATGTCTACTTATGCTGCTAGTGAATTGTAACTCATACTAAACGAGTCGATATCGACTTGTGTTGCTTGTGAATTGTAATGTATACTAAACGAGTTGATGTCTATTTATGTCGCCTGTAAATTGTAATTGCAAATCGGCGTCTACTTACTCTGCTAGTGAATCATAATTTTATTGCTATTGCTACTAATTCCTATGAGTTGAGCTCTACTAAGATTTGAACTTGAACTTGAACTCGAGCTTTGTATTAGCTTCTAATCAAGTTTAAAGTAAAGCTCGTTTCCCTTGTAATTTCTTGACTCAAAATTGAGCTTATTTCGACTTGTTTGCAGGTTTGTGCAAAGAGAATGAAAATTTCTAGGAAAAAAGTCGATGACAACATTAGTGTGCTATCGGGCTTGAGCCTTCGACTAGGCCATTCATTGTTTAAAGTGGTTAACTCAAATTAAAATGTCTTCCTAACACCAAAAATGGGGCTAATCTATAGCTAGTTTCTAGTTTCCACATAGCATACGCTCGACAACAATTTTACGATCAAGATAGTTCGAGCGCGAACCAAAACACAAGCAAGAAAGGCAACAACATTGTTTTTCGCAACGACCTTTGGGAATGGGAACCATTAGCCTGGCTGGAAGAGTCGGGAAAGCCTGGTCCCATGTCGGGTATTGACCCCCCTCCACCACCCCCGACCAGCGGATCAGTGGCACCTCGTGGTGGTGGTGGTGGTGGTGAGGTTGTTGTACCTGTAGATGTCGGGACCCCAGCAGCCCTGCCGCCAACAAATATGACATAAATTGAACTTAGACAAAATTAGATCTCGACTAGATGATTAAGTGATGGCGATGACGATGATAGTTTATGAAATGTAGATTCATTGTATGGTAACTGCACAAATAAATTAGATTAAATGACTATCTCATTTAAAATGTTAAATTTAAAGACATTATTATATAATAGTATTATTTTCATTAATCACAAGACCATGAATAACACTCTTAGAAGGCAAATTAAGTCACTTAAATTAAGTCACTATAAGTGAGAATTATGTGTGACAAGTGAATCTGGAGGCCTATTGCATTTTAAACTCATGACCTATTAGTCACAAATTTACCTCTCGGCCATCCTTGATTATTACTATTATTATTTGGTAGAATAGTAATTTGAATATTTAAATAATAATAATAGTATATTTTTCACAAAAATAATATTTTATTGCGAGGGAGGGGGGTGGGGGGGAATAGTAGACAAAACTCCAAAAAGAAGAGACAAATATTCGTGAACTGAAGTATTTATTGTGTAAGCAGGGAGTGAGTGGTCAAAATCTTGATTTAAACAATGAAAAAGAAAAGAAAAGAAAAGAAAACAAGCAACTTTGGGAAAAGCAAAACAACAGAAGAAGATAGATGAAATATATACATATAATCAATTAATTAATTAATCAATAATAGTCGCAGTGAGTATACTAATAAGTAGCAAAGAACAAAAGCTAAGCTAAGCTTAGTTTACACAATATGCATAAGTATGGCAGTATGTGTGTACCTTGGAGACGATGGATAAACGCAAGATCCATAGCCTGCAGCACAATCAAATTTCCTCAGAAATCAACAATTATTATATATATATATATATATGTAGAGAGAGAGAGAGGACTTGGATCAGTTCTGGCAATGGTGGAGGTGCCGGCGAAGGAGCAGGCGCCGTTGCGCTGGTAAAAGCTGTTGAAGGCGTAGGCGGCGTGGGCGGCGATGGTGTTGGGCAGATAGCAGAGCCCCGTCGACTGAAGCGGGGAGCAGTCCGCGCCGGCGCCGCATGCATAGTCCAGCGCCCTCTGGAGGGCCGAATCGGAGGCGTCGCTCCGCGCCACGCACCAGTTCGCCGCCGCGCCGGAGGACAGCACCGCCACCGCCACCACGCACATATGCAGCGCCGCCGCTCTAATTAGCGCAGCTGCACCTGCAGCCATGGAAGAGAGAGAAAGCGAGAGTGATGTTATATATATATAGTTATTATTGTTGTTGGTGTATAGAGAGAGAGAGAAAGAAGAGTGAGAAAGGGAAGGAAATGGAATGGTGAATGTTTTTGGGGTTGGGGTTGATGAAGGTGGTGTGTGTATGGGTGTGCTGTGCTTCTTTTGCTTTTGCCTTTGCTCCACCTCCTCCTCTCTCTCAATTATATTTTATTTTTTCATTTTTATTTTATACCTCCTATGTCTGTTTAATTAACTATACTGTAATGCTTGTATAGGGATACTAATAAATAATACTTCCTCGTCCCCACCTACCATATCTGCATTGCCGTTTTTATCCGTCCCATATATTTCATGTCACTTTATTTTTTAGAAAGTGATTATGTACTTTAATCTCATTTTAAATTTTCTAATTTAATTTTTTTAGTTTTAATTAAACTAATTAGTTATTTTAATCTTAATATATAATTATTTATATTATAAGATAATTATTTTCACTGATATATTCTTAATTATCTATTAATTATACTTATCCTAAATTCTCGTGTCTATAGTGACCAGACATCCAACGTGTGAGACGGAGGGAGTACTTCCCTCAGCTTAAGATTTAGATGGTATTTAATAATTAGGGCCATTTGGATTGGCTTAAAATTAAGCAGAAGTTAGAAGCAGAAATTTAAAACTAGAAACAGTTCGATTTTGTATTTGAGTAAAACAACTTTTTATAAAAAAATTGTTTAGTATTTTTTAAACCATTAAAATTACTCAAAATGACATTATCTTAATATAGTAGTATTTTTCTATAAAACTTTTATAATTTATTTTAAAATTTATTAATTATATTTAAAGATTTTAAAGTAAAGTATTAAAAATATATCTAATACACTTTGCCAAAGGATTTCAAATAAGAATGATTCATAGGTGACGAGGGTCAGAAGTGATCATGGGAGAGAATTTGACAATAACGATTTTGATGATTATTGCAAACAAAATGAAATCATTTATGAGTTCTTATCTTCCAAAATTCCTCAACAAAATGGCATTGTTAAAAGAAAGAATAAGACTCTTCAAGAAATGGAGAGGTCTACGATGCATTCGAATAGCGTTCCAAAGAATCTCTGCGTTGAGGCTATACATACAACCTACTACACAATAAATCGAATATATTTGAAGCCTCGTACTCAATCAACACCGTATGAGATTAGAAATGAAGAAAGCCAAGTCTTTATTGTTTTCGTACATTTGGATGCAAATGTTTCGTCTTGAAAGGTAAACAACCATTGAGCAAGTTCGATTCAAAGTCTGATGAAGCTATATTTTTGGGATATTCCACCAACAGCCGATCATATCGAATCTTCAACTTGAATACAAGAAAGGTAATGGAATCCCCTAATGTTAAGTTTGGTGATGAACTGAAAACAGAAAAGAGGCAAGAATCAGATGATGCTGTTGATTCATATCACAATCAAAATTTGGAAGAAATTCATAATGAAAAAAGTTCAAAAACTCAAAGTATTCCAGACGTTATTCAACCAGAGAATGAATCACTTGTTGAATCAGAAACCAACAATAACAAACGACCCAGAACAGGTAAAAAACACCCTACTTAACTTGTTATTGGTGATCCAATTGGTGAAAGAGTTACAAAGGGAAAGGTAATCAATTTAAGAGAATTGGTTGGCTTACATTGTTTCATATCAGTGGAACCGAAGAATGTCGATGATGCATTAAAGGATGAATTATGGATAACTGCTATGCAAGAAGAATTGGTTCAATTTGAAAGAAATCATGTATGGGAATTGGTTGGACCACTCTTGAATGTGAATATCATTGGTACAAAATGGATTTTCAAAAACAAAACCGATGAAAATGGCAATATGGCTCGAAATAAAGCAAGATTAGTTGCTCAAGGTTATGCACAACTTGAAGGATTGGATTATGATGAGACATTCACCCCGGTAGCAAGAATTGAAGCTGTGCATATGCTATTATTGATTTCTTGCACTTTGGATTTCAAGCTATATGAAATGGACGTTAAAACGATGTTTCTAAATGGTTGGATAAAGGAAAAAGTTTACGTTGCTCAACCGGAAGGTTTTGAATATTCAAGTCATCCAAACCATGTCTACAAGCTACATAAGCACTATATGGATTAAAGCAAGCACCACGTGCTTGGTATGAACGTTTATCATCCAATTTATTTGCGCATAATTACAATAGAGGCTCTGTGGACAAGACGTTGTTCTTCAAATGATCAACAGACGACATTGTAGTTGCACAAATTTATGTGGATGATATATCACTTTTTGTTCAACATCAAAAAAGCTAAAAGATAAGTTCGTGAAATTAATGTCAGATGAATTTGAAATCTCTATGATAGGAGAACTCAATTATTTCTTGGGGTTACAGATCAAGAAATACTCAGACAGGATCATTCTAAATCAAGCTAAATATGCACATAACATGATCAACAGGTTTGGAATGGAAAGTTTCAAGATAATCCGAACGCCGATGGGATTACAAGATAAATTGGGAAAAGATTTACCTGGAACCTCAGTAGACCAGAAACTATACAGAAGAATTGTAGGAAGTCTACTTTATCTCACAACAAGCATACATGATATTTGTTATAGTGTGGGAGTATGTGCTCAATTTTAAGCCGATCCGAAGGAGTCTCACATGAAAGCTGTAAAAAGAATATTGAGGTATGTGAAGGGAACTTCTTACTTGGGTCTATGGTATACAAAAGACTCTAGTTTAAATCTGATTGATTATACCGATGCCGATTGGGCTGGATGTTGTGATAATCGAAAAAGCACTTCCAGAGGATGTTTTTATATCGGAAATAATCTGATTAGTTTGTACTCCAAGAAACAGAATTGTATCTCACTTTCAACAGCCGAAGCTGAATATATTGCTGCTGCAAATAGATGTGCTCAACTTTTGTGGATGAAGCAAATACTGCTTGATTATGGATTTCACTCAAAGGAATTCATGCTACATTGTGATAATACAAGTGCAATGAACATTTTCAAAAATCTAGTACAGCACAACCGCACGAAGCATATTGATAATAGGTACCATTTTATTCGTGATCTTGATGAATTAGGATTGTGTAATTTGGAATACATACAGAAGACAAATCAAAGAGCATACATTCTCACCAAAGCCCTTGATTCTGATCGATTTAAGACATGACAACGGGAATTGGGTATTGTACCCATCAATAAAGGTCAGATTTACTTAACCCAATGCACATTGAGCTAATTTTTTATGGAATTATCTATGTGCTTCAATGATTTTATGGGTGAAATATTTTGAGGCAAATGGGTTACTTCTGATTGGGCTGCAATATTTAGAGGTTATTGGGGTTGATACTATTATGTTCAAAACCGTATGGGTTGAGATATCATTGATTCAAATGGTAATATAGCCGTTTTCGCTAAGGTCAGAAATGAATTTCTCAGAAAGCATAGACGCATGATCTAAATCGGCGGCAGATGACTGGTTACTATGTCGGTTATAATTGCAGTTATAGAAATGCCTGCACCATTTCAAATGATATTTTTTCAGATTTTGGAAGTTTAAACACGCAAAAATGATTATCAGAAAGACTAAACCAGCACTCGAAATGACATTTTTACATCTCACTCAAAATCATTTGTGAGAATCACTCCACGTCTCTCCAAAACAGAGCTGAAGTTCGTGAGAAGGTCAATCAAAACATTCTCATTGGTAATGATGATCAACATGTCGTGGAATAAAATCAAGATCAAGAAGGATCTGAATATATCGATCCATTATGAGTTGCTGAAAATGTTGTGCCTCTCAAAATCAATTTTTCCGAAGGGATGAATCCACTCGGAGTTACTAAAAGATGGAGTCAGTTAAGGTGAGAATAAGTGTCTGACATCAATGAAATTGCACCGCAAACAAATGCTCAAATGAAGGATCAAAGTGATAGTGATACTGAGGAAATTTCTTCTGAAAACATTGAAGTTATGGAGGAACAGAGTGCTCTTGCTGAAGGAACTCAAAATATAGAGAAACAAAAGGACTCTGTCAATGAAGAAAGTGATGTGCACAGTGATTTAAGTGACAAGTATACCATTGGAGACAGTGATAAACATATCACCACACTCGCATCGATGCTGAACAAAGTTCTAGAAAGAGGAAAAGGAACGATGAATCAAGTCCCTCTCAAACTGAATCTCTAGATTTTTCTGACGCTTTTGAATATAAATTTTTTGATAAAGCTTCGAATAAATTCTACCACAAAGTGCTTTCAAGGTGTGAACTGATTATGGAAACAAGGTTCATAAGGTATGAACATAGGGATTGTGGATTTCTCACATACTTAGAGAACAATCATTTAATGCATTGGGCTTGATGTTTCAAGAAGTATTGTCCGAATCTGGCGAAGAAATTCTACCCAAATTTATCCCCAAAACTGATGAACTCAGAGTCCCCATGGTACAACAAGTTGTATGTTCGAGGGCGGATGGTTGAGTTATCTACAAACAATCTAATTGACTTTCTGCATCTCTCACGAGCGATTTGGAATTTGGACCAGATCACTATGTGCACAAGTCTACTGCAAGCATTGGAAGGGTTATATCTGCTGAAAAACAGTCGAGTTTGGTAGATATAGTTTTACTCCGACTAACATTTCAATGAGGTATCATTGCTTGTTTAGGTTATGTTGCTACAACATTTACCCGACGGCGAATTCCTCATTTTTGTCAATTGGAATTGGAAGGCTAATCTACAATATTGACAACAACCTGGAGTTCGTGAATCTTGGTTTGATTGTGTTGCAAAAGATGGTCACGTTTGCAAAGTGAAAAACGAAAGGGCGTCTACCTTATCCTGCTATTATAATAGCTTATATAGCAAACAAGGGAATTATTCTTACTGATGAGGACAATTTCTCTCAGATCCCAGATCATCAGCCAACAACCAACATGCATAAGATGCATAATGATTTTTATGGTCAACCGGTTCTTCGAGGTGCCACTCTTGTTCTTCATTTATAAGATCGTATTCGCTATTTAGAAAATAATGTGGAATCTTACAGTCAAGGACTTTTGGAAGTCAAGCAGGAAGTTGGGGATTGCAACATCTGAAGACTCGATAAATGTTACAGATTCTGAAGATTTGGCAAATGAAGTTGAACGTACGCCTTCCTCTTCTGAGGACTGAAATTGCCTTTTGGGTTTGATGATCCCCAAAGGGGGAGCAATCTTGAAGGAGATTTTGGAGCAAAAAAGGCGAAATGGACCTATATGATGCTTACTTTTGTGGCTTATCTTCGATGTTTTTGTAAGATTTTTGTAATTTGTTGGTCTATGTTCATGGCTATCGAAGTATCTTGATTATATGATTGATGGGGAGCTTAGTCAAAGTTAGTTGGATGGAAGTATGTAACCCCTTTCATTCTCTTTTGTAATAGCCTAGGCCATATTAGTGGAAGCTATCAGATTGTTGTGTGTCATCATCTCATTCCCTAAGTTGTTGTTGGGAAACATCAACAAAAAAATGGGGAGATTATTGAGAATGTTGACACATTCATATTTTTTTGGACGATGTTATCCGAAGGTTAGTTGGATGACCACATCAGCTTATGCTTAATCAGTATATGATGATTATGATGGTCAAATCACTAAGTTAATTGACAGAATATCAACTTAGAAACCATTTTCAATTTGAAGGACAAAATTGGACTTAATTAAAGTTGTTATTTGGAATGTGCTCTCAACAAAATAACTGCTCCAAAGTTGTTACAAAATGGTTACTTTATTAAGCTGTGCAAGGGGACTACAGTGAGAATTGATTAGAGGTTAATTGAAAAAAAGAGAAATTTTATAGAGTGGATTAGAGAAAGAATTCTTCAAGATCTTCTACATGAAAGAGAGAGAGAGCTGCGAGAATTTGGTTAGAATTTCTGGAAAATTATTTCGTGATACCAAATACCTTATGCGAGCAAGACAGAGATTGAATACAATTATAGAGTTTGTGATCCGGTTGGAGAACAGACTACACGGATATAACAAAACTGTAAAAGAGGCTTGAAGACTAGATTGGGAGTCGAATTGCATTCCGTTTGAGATTTTCTAGTGGTGATTCAAGAAACACTGGTTGCGACCTGGTGAGCGTTCTTTGCAAAGAAACTTGAAATTGGGAATATTTGTATGTTTGTTATCTTGATAGAGATCATTGGGAGATTATGATTGGAAAGTATCGAGATGTATAATTCGATTGATTTGTAGTGGATTGGAGCTTGGGTTGGAACCCCCAAACGTAGATCTTTATTCGATCGAACTGGGTAAACAAACTTTTGTGTTTCTCTATTTACACACTATTTTAATCCTATTATTTACACATCAACATATCTGGATGATGTGGCAACTGACATAACCGTGTTTTTATATGTTATTATTTCTTTTTTTTTTTGGAATTTTACCGACTGCACATATGTTACATATATATACATATTTATTTGTACGAGCATCTTGAAAAGCGAAAGTTAATAGAAAGAGTTTAGCTACTTGTATAAAACCCTTCGCTTTAAAAGTTTGCAATGAATTCATCCGCGGCGGATAGAGATGAAGATAATCTTATCTATCACTTATTGTGCCACTGGCTCCGTCGGTATCTTGGTTGCATTGCATTATGTCATATCGAACTAAGTCGAGTTTTCTTGGCATACATCAGATTGCTTTAGGTGATATGATTTTTTTTTTTGTGTCACTTCTATCCGAAAGATAGAATTTAAGTTATCCGAAAGAATCTAAGTAGTCCAAGTACACTTATCTCCAATTCGAACATCATTTGCTTCTTGAAAGAATGAGATCATTAAATTAAGCTTAATCATTTATAAATAATTTAAATTTAATCAAATTATTATATTATCATTTACAAAAAAAACAAAAATAAAATAGAATATCTGCCAAACTAATAAAAACAAATCATCAAGATAAATAGAAACAAACAATTGTAAATTAAAAGAAATATTATAATTAATTCTACTGACAGTATATCTCCATAATGCAATAATCTGCATATATAAAAAAAATATTAATCAAATATCAAATAATAAATAATTTAAACAATTAAAATATAATAAAAAATATAACAGGTAAAAAAATAATAATATACACGAACCGATATATATTTTTAGAAATCGGCCACCTTTATATAAAAAAATCATTGATTAAATATCGAATATTAAAAAGTATAAAATTTTATGGATATTTTTTGTTTTGTGAAATGATTTGAAGAAATATTTTTTTATACAGAGGTATATAAAATTGTCATTACAAAATTTTAAGAAATAGCTTCGAAAATTGTCTCGAAATATATAATAAATATTAAATTAATTTTTTTCTCGGAAACTCCGAGACTATTTAAAATAGCTTTGGATTTTTCAAAGCTATCTTAAATATATATTTTATTATATTTAATAGTCTCACAAATTTTTGAACCAATTTTAAATAGTCTCAAAAATTTTGAACTTTTGTTAGTCTTGAAAAATTCAAACCTTTATTAATCTCAGAACTTCAAACCTATTATAATTAGTTTCGAAAATTCTGAACCTATGTTAAATAGTTTCAACAATTCCGAACCTTTATTAGTCTCGAAAATTTCGAATATTTAATTTGTCTCAAAACTTCCGAACTTATTTAATTAGTCCTGAAATTCTGAGCCTATTTTAATTAGTTTCGGAAATTCTAAACCTATGTTAAATAGTCTCAGCAATTTCAAACTTTTATTAGTCTCAAAAATTCCGAACCTTTAATTTGTCTCGGAAACTTTTGAACTTATTTAATTAGCCACGAAAATTTTGAACCTATTTTAAATAATCTCAGAAATTTCAATCTATATTAGTCTCGAAGCTTCCAAACTTATTTAATTAGTCTCGAAAATTTTGAACCCTTATTAGTCTTGAAATTTCTAACATATTTTAATTAGTTTCAAAAATTCCAAACCTATGTTAAATAGTCTCAGCAATTCCAAATATTTATTAGTCTCAGAACATCGGACCTATTTTAATTAGTCTTAGAAATTCTGAACCTATGTTAAATAGTCTCAGCAATTTCTAACCTCCACTAGTCTCCGAAATTTTGAACATTTAATTTGTCTTGAAACTTCTGAACCTATTTAATTAGTCTCAAAAATTTTGAACCTATTTTAATTAATCTCGAAAATTTTGAACCTATATTAAATAGTCTCAGGAATTCCGAACTTTCATTAGTCTCAGCAATTCCGAACATTTATTAGTCTCGAAAATTCCGAACTTTTTATTAGTCTCGGAACTCTCGAACCTATTTAATTAGTTTTGGAAATTCTGAACTATAAATTCCAAACTATATTAGTCTCGAAACTTTCAAACCTATTTAATTAGTTTTGGAAATTCTGAACATATTATAAATAGTCTCAGAAATTTCAAACTATATTAGTCTCGGAACTTCCGAACTTATTTTAATTAGTCTCGAAAATTTCAAACTTTTAATTAGTATCGGAACTTCCGAATAAGTCTAAAAATTTTTGAACCTATTTTAAGTATTCTCATAAATTCCAAACCTTTATTAGTTTTGAAACTTCCAAATCTATTTTAATTAGTTTCGAAAATACTAATCCTTTATTAGTCTCGAAATTTTTGAACCTTTAATTAGTTTTGGAGCTTCCGAACTTATACTAATTATTCTCAGAGTTTCCGAATCTATTTTAAATATTTTTGAAAATTTTGAATCTTTATGAGTTTTGAAAATTCTTAATCTTTATTAGTGTCGAAACTTCTGAATCTATTTTAATTTGCCTCAAAAATTTCAAATCTATTTTAATTAGTTTTAAAAATTCTGAACATTTATTAGTCTAAAAAATTTTAAATTTTTATTAATCTTGAAATTTTTCAAACCTATCAAATGATTTTAATTCACCTGTCACTATACTCTCACCCTTAATTAAAATAACTTAAAACTATTTTTTCAAAAAAATAAATAAATAAACAAAACTAACCCTATCACCGCCACCCATCATTTCTCCCCTCTCAAAAAATAATTTCTTCTCTTTCTTCCCCCAAAACCTTCTCTTCATTTCTACTTCTGCTTCTATATTTCTTCTTCTCCTCATCCCCTCTTCCATCTTCTTCTCCGGCAACGAAGGCGGCGGGACCGGCAGCGGTAGCGGCTTCTTCTCATCCTCTTCCTTCTTCCCCAGCAATGACAGCGGGGCCGGCGGCCGGCAACGACATTTTCTCCTCTTCCTTCTCTTCCTGTCCCGGCAACGTCGGCTGCAGCAACAACATCTTCTCCTCCTCTTCCTTCTTCTCCACCAGGGCTGGCGGCGGCAATGGCGTCTCCTCCTCCTTCTCCGGTGGTGGCGGCGGCGGCGCGGCGACTGCGGCAACGGTGGCTTCTACTTCTCCTCCTCAAGGAGCGACGGCAGCGGAGGCGGGGCCAACGGCGGTAACGACGTCTTCTCCTCCTTTTTCTCCCGCAGCAACGGAGGATGCGGCTTCTCCTTCTTCTTCTTATTTGGCGGTGGCGGCAGCAGAAGAGGCGGTGGCAGCAGGTTTCCGGAGAAGCTTTTGAATTTATCTTTTACTAAAAAAAAAATTAATAATTACTTCGCAAATTCTGAGACAATTATAAAAATTCATCGACACGCTTGTGAATACTTTCACTTCGGATTATAGTTTCGGATTTTTCGATACTATCTAAAATAGTTTCAGAGTTCGTGAGACTCTTCAAAATGACGACGAGTTTTACGTCATGGGTATCAATTCGAGATAAATTTCAAAGCTACACAAAATAGTCTCGGATTTATTTTAAATTCCGAGACTATTTTCCGAAGCTATTACTTTTTTTTTTGATAGAATGCGTATATAATATAAAAATAATAAATATGAGTATCATATATATATATATATATTTTTTTAAGGAAAGTGTGTATTTAATTTACAAAAAAAAATCTACCTTATAAATAATAAAAATTTAAAAGGTAAAAAAAGTAATCATGGACCAATATATATTTTCATCTCAATCCAGGAATATAATTTCTTTATAACCAAAAACCTCATCGTCACCCAATACCTTCTACAAATGATTTCAATATAACCTCTGAAGTAAGAAATTATGTTAAATAAATATGTATATTAAAATTTTACTTTTGTCGAAATATCTTTTTAAAGTCCATGAAATTTCTTATATAATCGCTAGTACAAAATAACATTTGCACAGTATCAAATAATATAGAAGCGCGTCGATCATCAATAACTCTTTTACTGGCACGAGAAATAAACTCCGAAGCCACTGTAGTTAATGGAATTGACAATAAATTACTTGCCATTTTAGATAATACTCGAAATCTCCATCTTTCTCCTTTCCACCAACTTAAAACATAAAGATTTGCATTCGCATCGTTTATGTACCGACTCTCTCTAAAATAAATATCAAAGTCCGAATTTTCTGGTGAAGGTTTTTCAGATTTATTTATCTGCATCTGAAATTTTGTTTTCCCAATGAAAATATTCTTTCCTAGTTTAATAGATTCCAATGTACCGCAACTATAAGAAGATTTATGACTTTTACGTTTTTTAACATATATTTATTCGATAGAAGATGATGTGAGCGCAACAATTTATTCACCATAAAGATTATTCAAAATCATTTTTATTTCTCCGATATATATATGTTTGCTTTTTCACCATAAAAATTTTAAATTTTAAAAATTGATTAATACATATAGTTACATTTCTTAAATAGTTAAGAACAAATAAAGGGGGATGAAGGAAAATAAAAATATAGACAAATAAAATGAGATGAATAATATATTGAATTCAATTTTAATTTTTCTAATCACAATTTTGATTTATATATATATATATATATATATTTTTTACTGTAAACTTAAAAGACAAATTACAAATTTGAATAGCTAGTTTATATTAATTTATCTATTTATTTTTTTATAATTTTAATTTTATTAAAAACCATTGATTTCAATTTTGATATTATTTGAGCATATATTTATTTTTATAAAATAATCATATAAATAATCATTCGAATCAAACACACACATGTTGGTTGGGTTCACCAAGTATTTTTGTTATTTATATATTTTTAAATTAATATTAAAAATACAATATTTATATATATAAATTCTCATATAATATATAATATATACAATATTTATTTACAAGTCATAAAAAATCGACAATTTAGCGAAAAAGTATTTAGTATTTTTATATTGTCAACATAATTCTCGATATTTAATATAAAATATTTATCTAAAAATATAAAATAACCATAATTATTGTATAATAAAAAAATAAAAAAGTTATAAAATGAATATATAAATGTAATATATTATTGTATCAGTTTTTTATGTTACTGTACTTAACATTAAAAATATTTTTATAATTTAGTCCACATATGTCATTTTATTTGTCTTATAAGATACTAGTAAAAATATTTTTATCATTTTTTTTTATTGATTTGTACTTCCATAATAATGTAATAATTAATATTAAAAAATCTAAACACAAAAAGCCAATGATAATCAACGATTAATACACCTTAGGTTAGGCTGACTGGTGGCACGCTGACACCAATTATTTTGCTACACAAATAAATTTTAAAAGATCATAATTATCCAATTAATTAAAGTTAAATCTAATTAAAATAATTAATTTATATTTTAAAAATATTATTTATTTTATATTATTAATAATTTAGTATTTATTAATATTTTTATTTTTATTTTTTATCTAAATATTATATCACTATTATAAAAAAAAGATCGTTTTTCTCCCGCAGAAGATAATATTATTTTTATTTATATAAAAAATATACTAATTTTATTTATCAATATAGTATTAATTCTATAAAATATACTTCATATTTCTCATATTCATATATATATATATATATATATATAGTACTTCCTCCGTTCCAAACAATGTGCAATATTTGCTTTTGGCACAAGTTTTTAGATGGGTAGTATTAAGTTAGATAATTTAAAAATTAGGTGATGCGATAGAGACAGAAATATATATTTTATTTTTTTATTTGGATGATGTAAGAGGATAATTTAGAAATGAGGTGATGTGATAGAAACAGAAATATATATTTTATTTTTTTATTTGGATGATGTGAGAGGATAAAGTGTACGGTATAAATTAAGTATAATTAATTATTTTCTATTTTAAAAATATTGCAAGGTGTTTGGGACATAAAAAAAAAAATATTGCATAGTATTTGAAATGGAGGGAGTACAATATTTAATTTCTGCATAACAATTTAAATAGATAAAATTAAATAGAATAATTTAATAATTAAATATAAAGTGAGAAATATATATTTATGTTTTTTATTTAGATGATGTCGAAAATATTATTCCAAATAGAAAAAGAAGAAAAAATATTACAAAATATTTAAGGTAGAGGGAGTACTTATTTCTACACGACCGCCGCCGCCGCCGCCGCCGCCTACCATACCAATTTTCTCTCTTTCTTCTTCTGCGCCTTATTTCTCCTTTCTTTCTCTCTCTCTTTTTCTTAACCAAACCCGGTTCGGTTCGAAGAGCCTATTTGGAACCCAAAAACCGGCGATTCGAACCGGTTGGACAAGTCTTGCCCTAACACCCAATTTCTACCTGTTTCTTTTTCTCAAACTTCCAACTCGATTTCTTCTTCCGGCGCTCCCACCACCTTCGTCCGTCGCCCTCTTCTTACTCGGATTAGTCGCAGGCTTCGTAAGTTCAATCCTTGCAGTAAGTAATTTTGAATTGCTTGGTTTTATTAATTTCGATGCCGATTGTTATGTGCAATTGGTGAATGGCTGATTGTTACTGTTTATGCTGCTCTTACGCTATTTCAATTTAAATTCGTGGAAGATTGATAATTGTTTGTTGTTATGTTAGCCAATTTCAATTCAATTTAAATTAATATATGGTGGTGGTGGTTGTTGTTCTTGCTGCTTCTTTGCCAATTTACACTTTATTTGTACTCGATTTTTCATGTGTTCGGTATTGTATTTTCTTGTGTTTTCTGTATTTGAGTTGGGTTAGACTGAACTGGAGGTTTAATTTGCTTGTTGTTTTGATGTTTGCGTTACAGGAAGTCATCTATTTATATAAGCAATCTTCATGCTATTGCAGATTGGAATAGACAATTTTTAATTTTTGTTTCTAGGGTGTGTTTCTTTTGATTAGTTTGGGAAGAAATTTGGTTTGAGTTTGGTATTAAATTTCGTTTGATGGGATGCTTGTGAGAGAACACAGAGACCAAATAGTAAAAATTTAGATGGTTTGGGGGGTAAAGAAACACATTTATATGAGAAGCAACTTCTAGTCATTCTCGTCGTCGCGCTAATGTTCTTGTATATGGGCATTATACTCGAGCATCCACACAAAAAAGTGATGGGGTCGACAATGTATGCGTGAGTAATTCACCCAAATACAAGATCATTACAGCGTTGGAGAATGAGATACATAAAAGGATGCCCACTTATACGACCAATTTTTCTTTAAATAAGTCATATAGTGATTTGAATCGAATTATTTGTGCAAACAAAGAAGATAAGATAGAAAGTTTTAAGGTAGTGAGCCAGTGGATTAGGTTGATTGGGTTGGCTGAGTAAATTCGAACCCAATCCTCCTGAGTATTGGTTATTCGAGCTTGACTCAAACTTGTTAATGGTACCGATTCGGCTAGGCTCGTTAAGAGTTCGAGCTAAAATAGTACCTCGAGCTCGGCTCGTTAGACTCAAATTAAAGCTCGAGCTCGTTTGAATTTTATACATATTCTATATATATATTTTTTTTAATATATAAATTAAATGTATTTAATTTTATTCATAATTTTTTATAATGAAATATTCAAATTTTAATGATAAATATAAATTTTGACATAAAAAATTATATATATTATATTAATATATAAATAATATAAATATATTATCACTAACGAGCTCAATTGAGCTACTCGCGAGCTCGGCTCATTTGTAAAAAAGATAATTTTCCAACTCGAGTTCAGCTCGTTTGTCTCTATGAACGAGTCGAGTCGAGCTTGGCTTGTGAGCTATTAGATTTGTTAACAGCTCTAGCTGTAGGCAAGCCAGTGGGTTATGGGGTAGCCTGCCCCTCCGGTCCGATTTTTACACCTGCAGTTAAAACTAATATTGGAATCTGCAACTTTGGAAAATATAATTCCAGTGCATGTCCATGGTGTTATTTTTTACATTCTCTTTGATTTGATGTATTGGTGTATTGGGACTTTTAATTATGTGATACTTCATTTGTGTGCTTGTAGGGATTAGTTTCTTCATTATGCAACGTCACGATATCCTGTACAAACATACCGATTCTCAATACAAGCATTACATCATTGACAACTATTTCACCCAAAAACCAAACAATATCCTATATGAAATGGGAAGAAACATTGCCTTTTCTCTCTGAATGAATATTAACAAGTGTTGTATACCGTCTATTTAATATTTCAGGTTTCGTTTACTAACACTACTACCAAGCCAAAGCTATCGCCATGGCTGGGAACAGTGCTGTTATAGGGCTTTCGTGGCAACCAAAACTTGATTTGTTTTCATCCGCTAAAAAAGAAAAAGGTTCTGTTGATGGTGCTGAATCCAGTGCACTTTACAAACCCGAGTCTATGCTTGTTGATGGTCTTTTTGTTCCACCCAAAGATCCGAGAAAGATGAACAAATTGTTGAGGAAACAGGTCAAGGACACCGCTGGAAAGAATTGGTAATCAGTTTATTTGAATCCTTTGTTTTTGTAGTGTTTTTCTTCATCATTTAGCACAATATTCGTTTTTGAGCTGTGAATATGTGTTTAATCCATGATAGGTTTGATATGCCTGCCCAAACTATAACTCCTGAACTGAAGAAGGATCTCCAGTTATTGAAGGTAATGTTAGGCTTACGTTTATGATAACTTTGTAGGTATTTTACAATGCAGATAGTTTCGGACATTACAATCAATTAGTAAGAACTGCAAATTGAACGATATGGACGTGATTTTATGATATAAAATAAACTCATTTGCTGAAAACCAGCTGCCATTGATAACTGTATATTCATTGCTAGGAGAAGATTGATTGAGATGTGAATTGTGATGTGTGCAGAACTTGAACTTTTAGGGCATGTTTACTTTTAATTAATTCATTTGCATATTATATTTATCTTCCTCTTCAATTTGTGTCACATGTCCATAAGTTTGTTGATTTGGATGTTTTTTGCTGGCTTATTGTTATTTAATTTTTTATATTGGAGAAGAGGTACTTAGAATTAGACTCTTTAAGACTAGATCTGCTTCTTGATACTTTGTTTGAGTTATATCATAGATTTATTATTTGACAATTTAGTCGTTCATAAAACTAAGGAAAACTAGTTAATTGTTTGTTACAATGCAAACAATATGGTAATATTATGCGAATGCAAGTGCATGCTTCAAGCTTTGACTTGTCCAACTCTTGGTCGGACTGGTCATTGACATTTTTACCGCAGTTTTTTTACTATTCATATTCTTTTTTCTCTCCAAAAATATCACATCAAACAATTACTTTTCTTTTTTTATATTACATTACAATTTCTTTTTTACATTTAAAATATCACATCAACCTCTATTTATATCACATCAAACAACTATTCAAATTCAACTTTTTACTACTCAAAAATTCAATCAAAAATCCAATCCCAAAAACTAAAACCCACAAACAAACACACCCTAAAATGTTCCCCGATTATTTCAGCTGAGGGGCGTCATCGATCCAAAGAGGCACTACAAGAAGGGTGACACAAAATCAAAATCGCTTCCTAAGTATTTCCAGGTAAGTTTATCTACTAAGATCTCAACTTTATCCTACTGTTCCACCTGCTTATCAATGATTGTGTTTGGTATTATTCAGGTGGGTACTGTGATAGAACCCGCATCCGAGTTCTACGCCAGTCGACTCACTAAGAAGCAGAGGAAAGCCACCATTGCTGACGAGCTGCTTTCTGATAGCAATCTTCACAGTTATAGGTATATAAATGTGTCAATTGAAAGTTGCAGGTTTTCTATACACAGAGAAAGGGTAGTTTTGTTGCAACAATCCTTCGATTCTTAAGTTAATGGTATCTCTATTTGTTGCTGTCTACAACTAAATAAGAAACCAAAACAAAGTTTGAGGTCCATCTGCTAGGCATTTGATTTGTTCTTGTGATTATAAAACTTATGCAGGAAACGAAAGGTTAGAGAAATTGAAGAGGTGAATCGCCCTGCAGGGGTCGACCAATGGAAGATAAAGAAATCTTCAAAGCGTGGAAAGAGTAACACAAAGAAACAAAGGTATTGATGCAATCTGGCTTGGTTCCCCGGTTTACTCTTTAGTTTGTCGAACAAAGCAGGGTAGGGAAGGTCATACTATTTTACATACCAGCCCCTAGTGGTAACTAAATTTATAGGTCGGTTGGTATTACATGAAAAGGGACACATTTGGGCTGTTTCATGTCTCTAGATTTGCAGGTGGCTTCATACCAAATTCCTACAAATTCGTACCTAGTGTATTTCGGCTACAATCAAACTAAAATGAGCTTTTGATCAAGCAGCCGAGTATTCGGTCCTCAAAAAAATGTTCTAAGCAAAAGAGTCAACCACTCTAGTATATGTGCAATCAATTCTTGCATCATCTACTTCCTAAGCACTTGGATTTCATGCTTAGAGCTAAGCTCGAGTATATATTATGCTCATGCTCATGCTCATGCTTCATTCCAATTTAGATTGGCTCTTCCATCATTTCATTCCATTACATTCACAGATAAAGTATAAATTAAGCATTTCACCTCTAACCATGCTCAACAAATATGGATGGAGGCTAAGCTAACAAATCATATCCATCTTTACTTACCATACCAGACGATCCATAATCCACCTAGTAATGATTTAAGCCTGTGAAAGACAAATAAGGAAGAAGATAAAGAAAAAGAGATCCAGATTGATTGATATTTGATAGATACCATCTGGCTGCTGGAGATCGATCAAATCCAGTTGCTCGATACCCTCTCATCCATTAATTGAGTTAGTTAGTTAGTTAATTAGTTCTCGTCTCCAGCAACTGCCGTATAGATCAGAACGTGCACATGGCTGTCGAACTATGTTGGAACCAACATCTACAGTGTTACTAACATTCCATCTCAAACCATAGATATGTATGTAGCTTTTAAAAGCCCCTACAATATGCTCTGCTCTAGTTCACAATATTGCACTTAACTACTAACCAATGATACCGGTTCTCCAAGCTCACATTCTAATATATGCTGATAAGGGTGATCGTCGTCTAACGATACCAACCCGAAAAAATGTTTTTACCAAGAAAAGACAAAAAAATATAAACCAAATATGTTTAAAGCATAAAAAAAGGTGTACATTTTGGTAAACATGAGAGACAAGAAGTTAAAAAAAGAGATGATAACAACTGTTTCATCAAACTGCAATTGCCAAAGATGAACACTAACATATTATCATCTCAATCTCACCCAACAAGAAAAGACCACCAAACAAAATATATGTGTGGAAACTACAGATAAATCTGACATGCAAAGCACAAATTCACTCAGCGATTGAAGTACAGACTCTTCTATACTCCAAAATTTCAGAAACACACATGTATATATATATATATATATATATATAACAGATTGAGGGAATTCAGGATCTCTTTTGTTTAAAAGAATACTAGGAAATGTTACTCAATAATACTTACAAGGAAAAAGTTGAGGTAATTATTATTACTTCTATCCAACCATCTAATCAATACCAAGAAAATTCTCAAGGAATAAAGATAAAGAATAGTAACTATACATAAATTCCTGCTGAAATAGCAAACCTGAACCTCGATTTTTTTATACTGCCTCCACCTGCAGGGTAAAATTGCATCATGCAATCTTTTTTGATATTAACCATCAACAATGAACTGATCTTCTTGGTTATCCTCCTCCTCCTCCTCGACTCGTGCATCACCATGGACCATGCCATTTACATGGTGCAAGTTTTGCATCATCTGAGATAGATAATGGCCACTTCCGCCAGAGTGATCAGAAAGCCCGGTGGGATGACCGGTCCATTGTGAAAGAATTCCAACAAACTGAGCCGTAATATTTTGTTGCTCGTGTAGTATTCTAGCCTGAACCTGTCCCATTTCTGCCCGATGCTGACTTAGCATCTCATCCATCTTCTTCTTCCACTCCGATCTCCTCATGTTCATTCTCTCCTCCCATTCCCTTCTGTGCATTAGCTCCTCCTCTCTCCTTCTTTCCATCTCTTCATTCTTTCTCTCCATAGCTTCCCATTCTTCCATCCACTGCCGCCTCAACTTCTCCCAAATTTCTCTATCGGCTTCCATTTCTTCAAACTTCCTTTCGTGCTCTTTCTCCATTTTGTTTCGAAGATGATCCCTCCTTTGCCTCTCCTGTTCTCTCTCCACCTCATCCTGCGCAAACCGAGTCTCCATCTCCTTCAAGTGATTCAACTGGCTAACTACAACTCCCCACGCCTTCTTCTCCAGCACTTTCGACACCTTCCTCTTCTTTTTCATGTTGGCGACACTTGGCTCAACATCCTCACTTTTGTTCCCTCTGCTGCGCCGCCCCTCGTCTCCATCGTAGTTGAACTCCAAATCCATCACCCCATTCTCAACCCCACCTACAAATGCTCCCTCACCCTCACTCAAACCCCCAAACTGCACCATATCCAAATCATGGCTGTCTGCCCCTTCAAACCTCCCATTACACCCATTCACCATTCCAACACCATCACTCCCTGCAAAGGCAAATGCAACTGCAACATCCCCAAAAACCTCCTTATACCTCATGAAATTGGGCCAATGGGTAATCCCTTCCATCCAATCAAATTCCTCATCCTCACTCAGTCCCCTAGCAGACTCCTCCTTCTTAATCTTCTGCTTCACAAGGACATACTGATGCCTCATATTCTGCACCTTCGTGGATACATCCTTCCATGTCCATTGCCAGGGGTACGCAGCAGGGTCTAGGGCATGGTGCATCGAATTCACGTACACAGCAATTGGCCTGTACTTCTTCTCCCTAGTTTTCATCTTCGACAACGTACCGTCGCACGCCATCTCCCCATACTTATCTATCAGAGTCCTCTCCTCCGCCTCAGTCCATTTCTTCCTCCTCGGCTGAGGCGTCATCACTTCACACCACCACCAAAAAACGTTAAAGTTCTCATCCAATTACAGAAATCACAATAAAAAATAATCAGTAAATAATTAGCTAGGCACTGGATCGAGATTCCAACCATGGAGATCACACACAGCAGCTGCCAGCCACTCAAAGACACACGTATAGCCGCTATCTAGAATTGAAATTAGGCGCAAACTGACCTCGAATTCTAGAGGAAACCAGCGGCATGGATCGCGAGTGCAGATTGACCGCAGTGGACGCAGGTTGGGGAAGGAGTGTGAGTCTCGGACGGACCGAATTTTGGGGGAGCGTGAATAAACATGTTTTTATGGGGGCGAAGTGAACGTTTAGAAATTATTAGGGACCGATCTACAAATAATCGCGATTACAGCCCGCTGTCCGTGCACACAATGCATTATGCATGACGACATATATGACAATATATTGTGTCTGTATGTATTTTTTTTTTTTTTTAATGAAAGAATATACTCCCTCTCCTATGGCTAATTAAAAGTAATTTATAGATAATTGTATTTATGTTTTTGATATAAAAATAATAATGTGATAAAAAATATGAGTATTTATAAAAATATAAAATATTTTTAAAATAATTATTTTGTAATTATACAATTCAAAAATAATTATTTTTAAAATATTATTTTGTAAATGTATATATTTTATCATTTTTGTCCCGTTTTATTACAATGTACTTACATTTTTTTTTTCTTTATAATTATGATCTACTATTCAATATACAAATATATTTATTATTATATTCGTTTCAAAACAATAGTCATGTTTACTATTTTTTGTCTATCTTAAAATAATAATTTTATTTTTATAAATAATCATATAATTATAAAATTATTCTTATTTTTTCATTATTATTATACAATTGTCACTATTTTTTATACTATTACATTCTCAAGGGCAAAAAATTCTTTACCCCGTACTTTTTATTAATTATCAATACAATATCAATATTTCTTGAATCTCGTACCAATCTCGTACCAAAAATTATTTTATATATATATATATAAAAAAAAGAATAGAAATATCCTTATACTATTGAATAAACAAACCTTATATATATTTTATCGTAAATCAATAATTGATAAATTTTCTATCTTAAGATTAAAAACTACTCCCCTCGTCCCATTAAAAGTGGCAACAATACCGTAGATACAACAATTTAAGTAAAATATAATTAATAAATATATTAATAAATATAATTATTATATAATAAAAATAATTGTAGATTAATATTAAAATAACTAAATACTTTAATTAAAATTAAAAAATTATAAATGATAAATTATAAAATTTAAAATATAATTAATATCTATAAATATTTTTTTCAAAAAAAAGAAAAGACAAATATGAGAGGAATGCAAATAAAAAAAATTGATGAAGTATAAATTACAAATATATAAATATATATACTCGTTAATACTCTTTCAGTCTCAATCTTATATATCATTTTGAAATTTTGTAATAACTTAATAAATTAATCATATTTTATTAGTTAATAGTTATAGAAGTATGATTTTAAATTTTGTACTTTTGTTACATAGTTGTATGCGTAATTCTATGTTAGTAATTTGTATAAAAATTAGGGTATGTTTGCTTGAGAGTTTAGATTTTAATTTTAAAACCAAAATTTTAAAATAATTATGAATAAAAAATTAAATAGATTAATTTAAATTTATTTTAAAAATAACACATATGGATGGACAGCTAAAAAAAAGGTTGCTTAATTTAACTGAACGGACGTACTACTCAGGGTGTGTTGTCTGAGAGTTCGTATTTTAGCTTGAAATTTGAATGGTAAAATTATAAATTTAAAATAATCATACTTTCTTCGTCCAAACAATAAGTATACATTTACTTTTGGCGTATAAAAGTAATGATGTGATGTAAAACAAGGGTATTTGTGAAAAAAAAAAAATATATATTTAATAAAATAGTTACTTTGTAATTGCACTTCCCAAAATAAAAATATGTATACTTTGTAGCTGGACGGAGAGAGTATAATTTAATATAAATAGACGTTGATTTGATATAATTTGATATTTTTGGAAAAAAAAATTAATATTTTTACGGTGGCACTTACTATGTCCACCTTTCCACCCATATATTTTTATTTTTATGAAAAAATATTATACACTTTAATTTAATTTTTTTAATTTTAATTTAAAATTATTTTTATTAATAATTATTATTTTTATTAATATATTTTTAATTATTTACTCTCCTCAATTATGATGTCTACGATAAAATAATGGAGTAATAAAGAGCGTACGTGCTACAAAATCCTTGTAAGAACACAAAAGTGGAACCGGTTCAGGGTAGGAGGCGGAAAGTCCGGTCCGGTTTCTGAGATAAAAAATAACCGGCCTTATCTAATCCACGGCCACGGGGACGCCTGCATTTTATTTGAGTCATATCCTTAATCTCTGCCACTTGACTTCAGTGTCTACAAGCACACCAGAGACGAAACCAAGCAATGACGAATTCTCTGTGTCTCTCACCAATCTTGTCCTTCAATTCCATCAACAAGCCTGGTAATTTCCATTTCCATTTCCTTATCTGTTCTCTCACATGTTTGCGTCGCAATTCATCTGCCTACATGTTTGCTGCGTAGAACTGTCTGATGTCTTTGGTTCAATTTCCTTTTCAGGGTTAATTAGCCATGAATATGCCTCCAGGAAAGTTAGTTGGATTGACAGCACCAATCCGAGCTGTAAAAGTGGTGCTCTTCAACCTATAAAGGTTTGCGATTGAATTTCGTGATAGAATTGGTTGTCTTGTGCACGCACAAGGTTGCTTGGTTTCATGTCTGATTATTTCTGGACCGTATTGCGAATTTTTTGCACAATTTTTGGAATTTGTTGATTATCATTGTTTGTTCATCGGAAAAATTTGTTTGTAAAGTTAGTCCAGCTTCCGTTTCAATGATTTAGGGTGTTTGAGGAATTGTTTCAATGATTTAGGGTGTTTGAGGAATTGTCACTCTATATTTATTCACAATCAAGTTTCATAAGAAGGTTTTGTTTACTATAAATACTTTGTGAAAAAGTCTTGCGCATGAAATATTTTATGTAAGGTGATCCGTTTATTGACATTAGTTTGTTGTAAGGATGCATAGTGAGCTATACTTAGATGAATAGTTTAAGTTCTGCTCGAGCGTTCTGTTTCAGTTGAGCTCCTGTGAATTCAATGATCTTGTTCTGATTTGCAGGCCGTCGAGAACCAACCGGGCACCAAATCGAATAACATACCAGGCACCAAACCGAACAGCATAATCTGTGCTGATTGTGATGGAAATGGTTAGTGAAGCATATCCTGCTTAATGATTACTTTGTGACTATTAATGAATTTATTGGTTGCTATTCATCCTTGAACTTGACGAAGTTAATCAAACTTTGTTGCAAAAAGGAAGCCTTCTGTTGTGATCGAAAAACAAAGGAAGAGTCATATTCATGTGGTATTGGTGCAATCAAGATAAATACAATTATCTCTAGGAAATTTTGTTGGAGAGAAATTTTTGTCATGTTCATATAGCAATACATAAAGTGATGAATGAGGACTCTCGAGAACAAGATGAACATTGTGATTTTGTAATTTTCAGAATGCATAAAAAATAGAATTATCATGTGAACCTTTTTGTTTATCCTGGATTTAGTTTACTGTGAAGCTAGGAAACTGATACATCGACAAACTATGAACCTCGTAATATAATGCATCAAAACTTGGTAAAGTCATTCATGGAATCATCATACCATGGGAGAAATGAAGAAATAATCTGATACTTGATTTCTTTCGATCCTGTGACTCAATCCTTAGGTTGCAAGCAATGCACTCAATGCCTAGGTAAAGGAGTGAATTCCGTGGATCACTTCAATGGGCAGTTCAAAGCCGGGGCAATGTGTTGGCTTTGCAGGTATCATCCAATCCGTCTTTATATTCTGATACCGTCAATTTGGTTAAAATCTTCACTACTATACCAAATGTTCAGGTGACTTATAGTAGTGATGCTAATTTTCAATATAAGTTTAACGATATTGGAAAATGTCATCGCTAGGAAGCTAAAGTGCTAATCAAATGAGATTAACTATAGCCATTTTAGGACAAGAATCATTTGCTTTTAGATATTTTCTTTTCCAATACATTGCTTCTGTTCTTTTCAGTTTTTTTTTTTTTTTTTTTTTTTTTTTTTTTTTTCTATTTGGGATTCTGCTATCATCGAACATTTGCAACATCTATGTTTTTCCGTACGATCTTCTGTCTAAGAAAGAAGACATTGTGATGATAAATTATGGTCATGGCTCTACTATTTCTTCATCTCAAGGCTTCGGCATCGATTGGAAAATTTGCTTTTAATCCACTTGTGGTTTGAATCGAAGATATTGTGTTAGCTTTAGCCTTCTCACTCCTTTTTTAGAAATTTTGTAAAATATTTTCGAACATACGGTGAATGGTGTTGACTTTCGAAACTATATAAGCAATTTTGCGTTTTAAGACATGAAGTTTTGGGACAGGGGTAAGAAGGAGATTCTGTGTGGAAGCTGCAATGGTGCTGGATTTCTTGGTGGTTTTCTGAGCTCATTTGATGATTAGCACACAATTTTCAGACATGATTTATATTTTCTTGGCTTCAATGGGCCTTTTGATTTTGTTGTAGCATGTTAACCTGCAGAAGATACTCTCTCTCTCTCTCTACTGTATTTCTACATACAATAAATATTATGATGTAATATTAATACACATGTTTTTTTATGGATCGAGGATTGGATCGGTTGAAATAATTATTTGATATGATATTAATTAATATTGATGTGATATTTTGGATATAATTAGACGTACAAGGATGAACTTATAATTGAAGTCAGTGCATTGTCCATCTAACATAATAACAAGGCCTCAGGTCGCCTGTCACACATGGTTCGTCTAGTGTGACTTGCCTGTCATGCCTAGTTTGCAAGGTATTAGGTTCGGCCGAGAGTTTACCTAGTGCGCACTTTCGAATAACGACTGCGGATTCCTACGTCATCATTGTAGTTCAAAATACTCAAATAGTAAATTATATTTACAAATTTATTTTTTAAAATTATTTCAAGGACAGTGATTAAGAAAAACTTAATTAATTATATGTTATATTAATTTTTTTTCCATTTCAAGTTCTAATCCCTCTTAATTTTTATTTTACTCTAAAGTGTTACAAATACTAATGTAATTAAATATTTATAAAAATGCCCAAGGAATAATTATAAGTTATCTCTTACATATTGTAATGATAATTTATTAAATTGTGCATCCACTTAAAAAAAAGACGGTTGGATTGTCCCCCGGTGGTCAGTATTCCACAAACAAATACACACCAAACTTTTGCTAACTTATTTTAAGTTTTATAAACTAATACTATCTCCGTTCCAAAACTATAGTCTGAGTTGTGTTCGGCATGGAATTTAAAAAATATTGATATTATATTAGTAGTGGCAAACAGTTAATTTTTTTTTTTTTTTTTTGCCCTTTGAGTGAATTAGTGTAAAAAACAGTGATAATTGTGTAATAATAATAAAAAAGTAAAGGTAGTTTTATAGTGATATGATTATTTATGGAAATAAGACTATTGTTTTAGGGCGGACAAAAATGATAAACAAGACTATTGTATTGGAACAGAGGAAGAGGAAGTAGCAAATAAAGGCACAACGGGGTGTTTGGCAATTAGATCTTAATTGATTCAATTAGTTGTTAGTTTATTTGATTAATTGATTTGACTAGCAAATTCAGTTAGCTGTTTGTGCTAATTTGATTAGCTGATTTGATTAGCGGATTCACTCAGTTGTTTGTAAACAGTTTGGTAAAATAGTTGGTTGATATTAATTGTTTATGTGTAAATAATAATTAAAGACATATTGTATTTTATTTTTAAAATATTTAGTTGGGTTTTCTTTTTTTTTTTTTATGTAGGAATTTTTAAAATTTTTATAATTTTCAATAAATATTTAGTTGGGTTTTCTTTTTTGTTATGTAGGATTTTTTAAAATTTTTATAATTACTTATTGAAAATTATGAAATTTTTAATAAATATTTTTTCATTTTAAAAATAAATTCGTGTATTTATATTAAAAAAATATGACCTTTTTATTTAAAATAGTGTAAAATATAAAAATAAAAAAAATATATATATATATTTTTTATTAAGTTCATTTTTAATTAAATTATTTTTTATTAAATTTATAATTTTAAATAAATTTATTCTAATATATTCATTATTTATAAAATAAAAGTATGTGAGAAAACATATATAAGTATATATACATAAATTAATAATTATAAGTTATTAAAACAATTAATATATACTACAATGAAAAATATATTAATACTTTGTAAAAGAAATGATTTATATTTAAGGGAAAATAAGTAATAAAAAATTTACAGAGAAACCACTATTATAAAAACGTTGAATTATACAACGTTTTAAAATTTAGTTTTTTTGGGTCAAGAAGTTATTTCAAAATTTAATTTTCAAACAGTTAAATTACTTTTTTCACTGATTAAACCGTTAAAAATTGTTTAATAAATTAAAATGTTTCCAAAATATTGTTTACTAAAATATTGCTTGAATAGGCCAGCATGGACATGTTTTGAAATTGAAATTAACTCATTTAAAATATTTTATAATAATTATTATATGTTCAAATATTTAGTTCGAATCAAAATTCCAAATATATTCAATACTATTTGAAGAACAATGTACACATTGTGTATTATGATAATAATTGCTTAGCATAATGATCGAGAACTGAATAAAAAAATTTTCCTTTTATTTTTATTTTTCAAAATTTACCGGACAACTATTCCTATAAAAAATATTACTTCCTCGGTCGGAAAATCTAATCTCATTTGTTTTTGTAAAAGTACAAATGAATGAGACTAAATTTATTGGACAAAAAGAGTATTTTTATATAAAAAACCAAATTATATTCTTTCCGTCCCAAACATCCTACAATATATAGTTTTTTTTATTTGTCTTAAACTCAGTACAATCTTTTCGAACTTAGAAATAATTAATACTCTCTCCATCCGCCTCTAAGGGTTATTTATCTTTTACTTCATTGTATTAACATTAAAAAATATTTTTATATTTGTATAAGTTTTTACATAAATGTCATTATATTAGTATTAGAAGACACTAACATAAGTATTTTTGTATTTTCTTAATTTGTACTACATTTTGATATGATAATTAATATTTAAATATCAAACACCCAAAAAGTAAATATAACCCTTAGAGCGGGACGAAATAAGTAATAATTATATATATATATACACTTCGCTCTCTTCAATCACATAACCTAATCTCTAAATTATTTCAAATTATCAGTCCATACTTAATAGTAATTATCAGTCCATACTTAATAGTACTACCTACCTTCCTGTGCCGAACGCAGTTTTTTTTTTTAATAGCTATATAGCAATGATTGTGTCAATATTGTGCGATATTTGAGACGAATAGAGTATAAAATAACTATTTAATTTAAACTAAGTATATTCAATTTTAGAGAACAAAAATATAAAATACATATACCATATAATATATTTATACATATATACAGTTATGCATATTTCTTCAATAAATTAGAAGGTTTGTTTACATATGTTTTTTTTATTATTATTATTTATATTCAATACCTATTAGAGCATCTCTTATTGTCATCTTGTTTTTATTATTGTTTTATGATTATCTTATTAATTTTGACTGCAACCAGAGGTATTAAACGAATCGAGCCGTTCGTGAATTCGGCTTGGTTCGGATCGATTCGGTTCGACTAAAACTTATTCGCGAACGTTAACGAGCCGAGCTGAACAATATAAACAGGCTCGTTTGGTTAACGAACGAGCCCGAGCTTTGTTCGCGAATATTCGTTTAAATAATATATTTATTATAAATATTATATATATAAAGTTATAATTTATAAATAAATAAAATATTAATTTAAAATATATAAATAAAATAATTTTAAATTTTCTTTATAATTTATATATAAATTTTAAAAAATAAGACAAACGAGTTCGAACGAACTCGAACAAGCTTAATCAAGCCTAACACGAACACGAGCTCAAACAACAAAAATTCTTAACGAGCCAAGCTCGAATACTACGAACGAGCTCGAAAGCTTAACTAACAAACACGAGCCTTATTCGCGAACGTTAACGAACACTTAAAATTTGACTCGGCTCGGATCATATCGTTAACGGCTCTAACTGCAACAACATTAATTATCTTTATTAGAAAACACAATTATCGCATATATTACTTTTCTAAAAATTGATTATATCTAATAAAAATAATAAAAAAAAAAACTTATTAATTAGTACTCCAATTTGAAATTTAAAATTTAAAAATTTAAAATATATTTGATAATTTATCTATATAAATACAATTCGAATTTATTTCAAAATATGATATTCATCTACATATTTAGATTTCTTTAATTTTTTATATCAAATTTCAATTATTAAGTTTCTCTAAATTTTTATATTGAATTTTTCAAATATAACTAATCCAAAAAATTCAAATACTTTTAATATTTTAAAATTATTATAAAAATTATATCACAATCATAATTTATATAATTAATATTTTTGAAATTTAAATATATTATTGATAATAAATTATTATTTATATATTATTAGAAATCAAAATATATTATAATAAATAAATTATAGTACTTAGATTTTATAAAATAGTAAAAATAATAAGTCGAAGGTAATGATATTACGAGTATTAAAAAAATAATTTAAATATTGATATCCATCTAATACGAATGAAAGATATAAATAAGATAATAAAAGTTAAATTAATCATTATAATAATGCTTCTAAAAAATTATATTCAATCACAATTTTACCTCCAAATATAATATATATCTATATATATATATATATATACACAAAAATGATGCAAAACTCGTCTAGTAAAAGATGGTCTGGTTTGAGGATTGGACCCCCGACGCTCAGGCCATATGCCACATATAGTTCGGCTAGTATGATTTGCCTATCAGACTTAGTTAATAGAGTATTGTATTCAGCCGGAGCATTTTCGGATAGCGGCGGTAGATTTTCACATTATATTGAATTTTGGATGGACTTGTACTATTCATTCTATTTTTTTTTATTTTAAAAAATGTCAAATTAAGAATTTATTTTTTTATTTATATATTATAATAAATTATTTTTATTCATAATATTATATCAGATATATATATATATATATTTATGTTATATTAGATATTTATTTCAATATTTTATTATTATTATTATTATTATTTTTAAAGCGCAACGTGTATCCAACTTGATTAGACCCAAATTGTAGTGGTTGTGTGTGAAAAACATGCATGAATGATTGTGTTGTATTGTGGAAATTGGATTGGAATGAATATAATAATAATAATATTAACAAAGTGGGAAAGAAAAGTAGGTAAATGGGCATCAAAGTGTTAGCAAATAAGTGGGCATCCTTTTGATTGATTTTGTTCCCCATTCAGGGATCTGAACCAATTCCAAACCCAAATGAACATTTTCTATTATTATTATTGTTATTATTATTATTATTATTAAATAAAATTGGTCATAACTCTAATGTGATTTTGAAATTGAGCTCACGATCATGAAAATTTTCTTATGTGATGAGGAGATCATTTCTTGTACGTTTTGCATACAGAGAGGGTTTCATGCAATACTTTTGAAAGTATAAAGGGCGTCATGCAATT